GCTTAGCAGATAACTTAGAAGGCTTAGAGATTAAAATAATTAGCTTAGTACTACAAAGTGCTACTATTTAATCTACTTAAGTCTACTACCTTGCAAGAAAAAAGAGAATTTAATCTATAAAGGTTAGTTAGAGTAGCCTTATTCCTTCTCTTCTCTCTAGGCGCCTTTTTAGATATAAGAGAAGTAGAACAAATAGGCCTACGCAAGCTGCTTAAAGAGAAACTTAACTCTAGATTAGTAGAATGCTAAATAGAGCTACTAAGTATAGCTTAAGCTAGTTAGAAAGAAGCAGTATAACTAGGATAAATTAATTTCTTATTTACGCTAAGAGAGGTATTAATATAATCTATTTAGTTATTAAAAGTAACTAGAGCGTTAAGATTAAAGCTAGCTAAGGTTAAAGCGCTCTTATTATTAAATAACTTATTAAGCATATTAGTTTTATAACTAAAAGGCTTAGCCTGCTTACTATGCTTAGATTCTAGAAGACTAGAGCTTAGGCTAGAAAGATTGCTAGCAGGCACTATAGTCTTATTCTCTTTCTTATTATCTTAAATAGAGGCCTAGTAAGTAGACACCTTTAAAGAGGTTAAATTAGTTAAGAGCAACTTTCTATTAGAGCCTATCTTCTAACTAAAAGAATCTAAATAGAGTTACGAAGACGTAAGTAGCGCAGCTTTCTTTACGCGCTTAGAGGTTAGATTAGATATAGTAGTTTTAGATTAGTTACGCTTAAAGCTAGATAGCTTATTATAACTAGTAATATACTTATAGACCTTATCTATAAGCTTATTTCGCTTATTAGTATACTTAGAAGTCTATAAAAGATTAGTATAGAGCTGCTATATAAGATTAATAACTACTTATAGTTATAGTAACTATATTGGCCTATAGCGTAGTTATATAAAGCTATTATCTTAGTTATACAAGAGCTTAATACTATAGTATAATTAGTATAAGAGGTAACTAGAATAAGGTAAGAAATATGCCTTAGAATGCACTGCTTAAAGTTATAGGCAGCGTAATAACTTAACTTACTACTCTTATTAATATATTTAAGCTTATTCTTAGTTAAGTTACTTAACTACTTAAAAATATAATTAGCGCAAAGGCTCTTGCAGAGTGCTCTAGCAACTAGCTTTAATAGAGTATCTAGAGCTAGATTACTCTTCTTAGAAGCTAACTTCTACTAATTAATTTAAGCTAAGGCGTGCGTGCCTTTTAAATCTAATATCTTAGAGAACTAAGTAGCATAAGCATTCTTAAGGTTCTTCTTCTACGCTAGAGTAGCTATTTTTCTCTTTTGCTATAAAATAGCTAAGTTAGCATAACTAATAGCCTAGAGTTTAAGGTAATTATAATGCAGAGTACGCGTAAGATACTTAAGTATCTCTTAATTAGTAGGACTTACTAGAGCTATAGTTAGCAGATTAAATTCTTAAAGCTAGGTAGTAGAGTATTAAAAGATTATAAAGTGCAGAGTAAGATATTAATATTACGCGCGCTAAGGCTAAACGCGTAAGTTAACTAATCTCTATAATAACGCAATAATAAATAGATGCTTACTAATTAAGCAATTAGAGTAGAGCAGAAGTAAAGTAATAGCTTATTTATATGCATACTGCGTAATATTATCTTAATTAAATAAAGTAATTAAGATAGAGAGTATATTGTAGTATTAATATATAAGAATAGTAAAGTACTAATCTACATAACTAAGCTAACTAAGCTTAGAAAGTAGACTAACGTTTCTCTGTAATCTATTTGTATATTTAAGCTAGCTCTTCTAATATATTAGAAGAGCAGTAATTAATACAATTTTTTCTCTTAAGTTTGCTTAGCTACAACACTTAATAATATCTATTCTTTAGTCTACTATATTTTCTAATTATATTCTAAGGCTTAGCTACTAGCAGTAGCTCTAGAATATTAGTATACTTTACTTTACTTCCTTTTTTATTTTTTTTTCTTACTTTTAAAAAAGTAATTTTTATATTACTAGCTACTAAGAGTACTTATAATAGGCTCTAGTAAGAAGTAAAACTTTATGCCTATATTAGCCTTTACTTTGCTATACTGCGCTAAATCTAATTTTAATAAGCTTATACTAAAGCGCTTATACTTACTAAACTCTATAAATATACGCGCTTAAAACCTTTTACTTTAGTTAAGCTAGCATTATTACTACTAAAACTAAGCTTATACTAAAGCACTCTAAATATCTAGCTAGTAGCAGAGGTTATAGCATAAGCGTCTAAAATATTCTTAGAAAAACTTACTCTCTTAAGTATCCTCTAAATAGTTTTAGGCTTAATTTTCGCAGTATAGAGTAGATAAAGTAGAAAAAGTTATAGAGATAAAGTAAATTTAGTATAAAACTTATATAACTTACGTAGCTATACTAAAACTATAAAACTGCGTTTGCTAAGTTTTACTTATATAGCTAAACTAAAGAAACTTACTAAAGTTTTTCTTTACTCTCTACTAAGCTTAAGCTATTTCTAGCTAAGCTTAGTAATACTTTCTAGGCTCTTTTAGCTTCTTTTATAGCTTAAGAGATCTTACTAGGTTTAGAAGAGGCATATATAAGAGATACTAGAGAGGTTTATATATAAGTAAAGTATCTCTGCTTAATTTACTATCTACTCTCTAACTTACTACCTACGCTCTAGTATATCTTACTTACTCTAGCTTTCTCTTTTCTTTTCTTTTACTTTAGCTAGTCTACTCTAGGCTAGCGTATATGCTAGCCTAGCGCCTATATGCTTTGCAGTATATATAGCTAGCTATTCTCTTCTCTTAGTAGACTCTTTATTTACTATTCTACCTTTAGTTAAATATAAGTACTTCTTATTAATCTAAGCCTTCTATGCTTATAGTCTGCCTTATAGCTCTTTTATAAAGTCTTTAAAGAGTATACTTACTCTTTATATTTACTTTAAAGAACTTAAGTTAAAAACTAAGTTTAATTCTCTTTCTCTTTTTACTTCTTCTTCTTTGCTATTTTATATAATAAAGGTAAGAAGTAAATTAGCAATAATTAAGATAAAGAAAGTAGAAAAAAAAGAGATAAAGAGAAGTATAACTAAGTAAGAGATAAAGAAAAAGCTAGATACTATATAGTAGAAGAATTAGCTTAGTATACTAAAGAAGAAGAGTTTTTAATCTTTATATAGCAGTTAAAAGCATATAATCTCTTAAGTTAAGAGTTCTTAGATTAAGAAATCTTCTCTATAATTATTAAGTGCTGCTCTAGAAGAAGAGTAATAGCTATATAACTCTAATTTACTACTCTCTAATCTTAATTTTAGAGATCTCTAGTTTCTAGAAGCTTAGTTAGATAACTAGTCTCTATATAACTTATAAAGTAAGAAGTAAATATTACTTCTATAATATACTCTTTTATATTACTCTAAGTTTAATATTCTCTATATAATATACTTCTTTAGATTACTCTAAGTTTAAGATTGCTCTAAGTTTAAGATTACTTTAAGTTTAAGATTACTCTAAGTTTAAGATTACTCTAAGTTTAAGATTACTCTAGGTTTAAGATTCTTTATATAATATACTTCTTTAGATTACTCTAAGTTTAAGATTACTCTAGGTTTAAGATTCTCTATATAATATACTTCTTTAGATTACTCTAAGTTTAAGATTACTCTAAGTTTAAGATTGCTCTAGATTTAAGATTCTTTATATAACTACTCTTTAAATATTCTATATATAAGCTTATTTTTGCTTCTTTATAAAAAGAGAGTTCTTTAAAAGTAAGATAAAGGTAAGAAATATACTTATAGTATCTATCTTTAAAATAAAATAAGTACTATATAACTATAAACTTCTTATTATTATATATATATTAAAAGGTTTATAATTCTTTTATATATACTATATACTATAATTAGATAACTATTAATACTTAAGTTATACTCTTAAGTTTAAACTATAACTAGAACTTAATTCTAATTATTATTATTATAGTATTAATCGTAAGCGCTTTAACTCTATATAATAGTATAGATCTAAATAGTTATATAGTGTAGATCTAGTCTATAGAATTAGGCTCTAGTTAAGTGCTTCTTACTAGCATAGCTTATACTATAACTATCTACTTAACTTTAATAAATTATTACTAATAAAATCTAGGCTTAATAAGTTTAAGTTCTAAATATAACTTTAGCATATAATATTAAAGTATAAACTAGCGCTATTACTCTTATCTAGATCTAGAGCTATAGAGACTTATATACTAATAGCCTATATATTTAGAGTTATAGCACTAAGAATAATACTATAAGTACTAACTCTCTAATTTACTATTATATATTACTAATATTCTCTAGTACTATACTAAATGCTATAGTAGCACTAGCTCTTAATTATATACTACTTATATAAGCCTTATAAGCTTCTAGAGTAAATACTATAGTAACTGCAAGCATTATAATTATAGCACTTATTATAGTGCTAATTATAATAATTAGTAGTAGTAAGAGAAGAAGTTAGATAAGAAGTTTAAGTTAGATAAAGAGAATTAGAATAAAGAAGAAAATAAGTTAGATAATAATAAAAAAGAAAAGATTTAGTCTAAATCTACTTTCTAAAGCTTCTCTTCTAAATAAGAAGTTAAAAAATAGATATATAATACTAAAAGTTCTTATATATTAATTAATTTTTTTATTTTAAAATAATTCTAATATATTATTTAAGATATATTATATTTTATATATATATAATATTAATACTTAGTTACTATTAAGGTATTTTATTATATTATTTCTAAATTTTAGTAGAGGAAAATAATTATTGCACTACACCCGGTAGTGGCGCACCGTAATCCGTCTCCACCTTGATCTGTACGATCCCTATTCAGCCAGCCTACTCATCTAAAATAGGACAGGCGAGACGCGTGCCATGACTTCGTATAAGAGCCTCTTAATGCCGGCTGTGCCACTGCCAGGCACGACGCAGAACAAAAGGATTCCAAAACTTTTGTCATGATGTACATTCCAGCATTAGCTGCCGCGTTTGCGACACTTGCTGTATTGTCACCAAGAGCTCATGGCCGAGCGATAGAGACCGTGGAATCGCGACAAGAAGGATTCCATTGGGTCAACACATGGACGAGCATGCCGCAGCTCGTCGAGCCGGGCAACATGCCTCCAGCACCATTTGTATTGCTCTAAGAATCATATATCATCAAGTATATACTAACACCATCCTAGAGCTCAGGCGGCGTCCTCAAGGACGCCACACTTCGCCAGACGCTCCACATGTCCGTCGGCGCATCCAAGATCAAACTCGCCATCTCCAACACCTTTGGCACATCCGATCTGCCCATCACCGCAGGCTCCGTCAGTCTCCCCTTGGGCGGTGCAGCGGGCGTGAGCAGCATCCAAGCGTCGCCTCTCGCACCCATCACCGTCGGGGGCAAGAGCAGTTTCACAGTGCCGCGCGGGCAGGTCGTGATCACGGATGAAATTGAATTCCAAGTGAAGCCCCAGATCATGCTCACAGTGAGCTTGTACAGCCAGCAAGGCCAGAGCGGGTCCAGCATCACTGGCCATCCAGGAAGCCGGACGACGAGCTGGTTTGCGAGCGGGAACAAAGTCAATGCGACTTCTTTCTCGGGGACGCAGAGTGTGCACTGGTACTTTGTCAGTGCGGTGCAGGCGTATGTTCCTGCGGATACGGGCGCGCTGCTTATCCTGGGCGATAGTATTACTGATGGAAGAGGCTCGGATGACAACAAGAATAACCGGTTAGTTTTTGTCTTTCTTCTTCTTCTTCTTCTTCTTCTTGAACCCTAGGGTTGGAGGCCGACTGCGCTTCACTGCTGCTGCTGATGCCATCTCACAGCTGGCCCGATCTTCTCCTCGCTCGTCTGCAGGCCACAAACCACTCTACACTCGCAGTGAACAACCAAGCCGCTGGCGGAAACACAGTCCTGTCAGGCGGCCTCGGCCCTCCTCTTCTGACCCGATACAAGCGCGACGCCATCGACCAGCCGGGTGTCAAATACCTGATGATTTTCGAGGGCGTCAACGACATTGGGGGAAATGCCAACAGCGCAAGCACCCAGACGACCGTGGGAAACTCGCTGATTTCCGCGTTTACGCAGATCGTTGGCGATGCTAAGAAAGCGGGCTACACGACTATTGGTGGGACCATTGCGCCGTTTGGGGGGAACTCTTACCAGGGTACAGAGCGCGAGAAGACGAGGGTCAAGGTGAACAAGTGGATTTTGGAAAGTGGCACGTTCGACCACACGGTTGATTTGGCGGGGATATTGGCGAGTAAAAGCAATCCGGCAATGCTGGACAAGAAGTTTGATAGTGGGGATGGTTTGCATCCTAGTGTTGTGGGATACCAGGCTGTGGCGGACGGCTTTCCTATTGATATTTTCAAGGCATAGAGTGTAAAGAGACTTGCAAAGATCATGCAGTGTACATAGAGATTGATCATGCCATTTCATTTAGTATATATCAGCCGCCGCTCGTCCGAAGCTTCAGTAATATCCACCACCAGTTACCCGGTAGATCCTGCGCTTCTTCTCCTTTTCATAGAAGACTTGAGAGCACTGCTCCGCACAGCGGCACTTTGGTGGGAAGAAATCGTCTTCCGGCTTCTCGTCGTGTGCCTGACCTGCCATCGACTCGGGTGCCTGACGCGAGATTGACTCGTTTTGTTCCTCCTCTCCGTCCTCGACAAGCCAGCTTCCCGGCTGCACTGGTTCTTCCAGCTTGACACCTCCTCCACACTCGGTATACAGCTCTGCCAGCTCATCTGGACTCCACTCTCGATCTTGGATCGCCGCTGCACGGAGGGACTCGTAGCGATCCTTCTCGTCCGCGTCTATGAACCCGTTGACTTCGACGAGAGGGTACAGCGTCAATACCGCTGCGATACAATCGTATATGAGTCGGTGAAGGATGCGTGGACAGGGAAAGTCCGGGAAGAAGAGCGGTGGGCCGGGCTGTTCTGGCATGTCGCGCCACCCTTGTTGTGGCTTGCGAGGCAGGCGGAAGGTGATTTGGTTCAGATTTGGTAGTTCCTCGAAGATCTCGTAAGAGATTGAACCAGGAAGTAGATACTGCTTGAAACTGCCGACGCTGACTTTGAAGAAGTGCATGTATGCGATGAAGTCCATGGAGAGGTAGATGCTGCGGAGGCCGTGTCGGAAAGTCGCGTACTGTTCGAGCTGGGGATAGATGCGAGGATGGTTTCTGTAGTTGTCTGCAAGAGCCTTGGTGCGGTCGTCCATGGGTAGGCCGTTGTCGTCCATCATCTGATAGTAGCGGCCGAGGCGGTCTAGGCTACTAGCTAGACTGCGACATGAGCTCGCCATGAGAGAAAGGCCGCCATAGTAGACGAAGCATAGGCGCAGAGTGATGGCACGTACTTGATGTGAGACACCGAGCAATGATGCCCAGTCGGTAAGCTTGTCGATGATCTCATAGATCCCGAACTCGCGACGTGTGTCTCTCGGCCTGCGGCGATCGAACCAGCGACTCAACCTCTGTCTGTAATCTCCTTGCTCGAGTGGTTGGTAGGCGCAACACTGGGCAATTCGCTCTTTCAGCTCTGTTGGTAGACCTGCCCAGTTGAAGGTTTGATCGGCCCATGATCAAGAGAGACTCGAAGATTTATGGTAGAGTCGTATCGCTGTGATGAGATATTGTATATTATATAGTCTCAGGCTACAGGATGGGGTACCCGATGCTCCACTAAATCAGCGGGGGAGCTGTAGCCTACACGCGAGGCTCACCAGAAGAGCTCGGTGAGGAAGAACAGTGAAAGTCGTCACCCTGTATTCAGGTATTTCTATCACCTAAGGTGAGGAGTCATCACGGTCAAACAGCAGGAAGCCTGACTAATGGTCTGAGTTTAAATGAAGTATCGATAAACTCGAATATCATGGGAAGGACCTAGCTAAACTTCTCTCAGCAACCAACTGTAGCAATCGAAAAAGTGGCAGGCACGTGCGATCGCCCGGGACCGGTGAAAGCATGGAGGGCGCAAAGCCACCCCATTCAAGACTGGCATCACGTATTCGGCATCCTGTTATCCGATCTGGGAATTGTGGGCGATGGAGTTGTGATCGTACCTCCCCTTACCGTAAGGAAGCGCGGTAATAGGTCAGAACGCCAAGCGCGCTATGCTCGTTCCGACCAAGCTCCAACGGCTTTCGATGTTAGGTATAGAACCGCGAACCAAGAACCACAACAAGCCTCCAACAATCACACATCAATCTCAATGTCAACTTAAAGAAACTGTGCAAATCGAGTCAGTTGGCAATCAGAAGGAAAGAGAAAGGGACAAGCCAAACAAGCATTCGGATCCACGCTCCGCAGCAACAACAATAATGAACCAAAACTTCCTCGGCGCTCCAAGCCGGGAGGACCTCCAGGTCCTTGAGACGCTACGGGGCCGCATAATGCCCATGATCGGTGTTCTGGACAAGGTGCACAATGACATGCAAAACCACCTCTTCCGCGGCGAAGCCCTGCCCAACCCAGACATCATGCGCATGTACAGAGCCGCAACATCCCAACTAGCCTCTGTGAACGAGTACATCAACGGCTTCTACAAGCACCGAGAGGAAGTTTACCGAGATGCTAATGGCCGGCCGATGATCGATCAGCAAGGGAACCAGCGCATGCGGTATATTGATACTGCGGACGAGGGCCACGCAGAGCGAGTAGAAGCGCTGCATGTTTTCCCACAGGCGCCGTTTCCCATGCATAATGAGGGCCTGGCTGGCTTGGCGAGTACGTTGTTGAACAAGAGGCTGGAGCCCCCGGAGGAGCGATGGGTGGAAGATCGACTCAGAAAGGCGGCTGAGTTTGCGTATGTGCCCAGCGAGTGGAAGATCGAGCCCAAGAGGAGTGACATCAAAACCGAAAACGAGGAGGATGATGACAGTGAGGGCTATGTCGCTGATATTTCGACGAAGCGGTTCAAGGGCACGCTGAATGAAGATGACCTTGTGGAGTTGTGGAGTTTGGGGCACAAGACGGCTTTCGACAAGAAGTATCAGGAGGCTAGGCAGTTTGTAGCAAGGTTGACTGGCGGCGAGGTTACAGACGAAGGGGGTGCTGAGAATGACGACCAGACGCCGGACGGGGATGAAGATATGGAGGATGATGAGGAAGAGGAGGAGTTTGAAGACGTGGAGACACCGAGAGGGCAGGCTCCTGAACCTGTTGTGATCATGCAGCGGGCGCCGCCGTCGGTGCACAAACCTGTTCCTGGAGCACCGATGTTGAACTTGGGCATCGTGCACCGGTTCATGGCTTCCGGAGAGGTGGCACAGGCCGGTCAGCGATAGAGACTCGGGTCGGATTTGGATAGCATTTGCACGGCGTTCGGGTGAATAGCGCGATACCACAGATTCATGGAAAAGCATGTCATGCACGATGGGGTATCATATACAGCTAGTTAAGATGATTTCAATGTCCACGCAAGGCTGATCTATATGCCTCGTCAACCTCATTCAGGCTTCAGCGCATATATCCTGACCGGGTACAGCTCCTTGGGCATGCCTCTCTGTTGCTCTGTCGCGACAATTTTCAACCCCGCCTGTTGAAATAGGCGTCTGAACTTGTCGTCTGACCGCGTCACGCTGGAGTCCTCTTCGTCGTATATGTCTTTGTGCATGATGTCTGTCGACAGATTCTCCTTGACGATGATCCATGCTCGGCTGACTTCCTCTCCTTCCCTCGCTGGCCTCAGCCCCTTCTTGCACCGCTCCAGGTACACGACCAGTTGCGCGTCCGTCAGATGGCCCAGGCACCATTGGTTCCATATCACGTCGTATGCACCGGGCTCAGGTATCCAGTCCTGCAGCCCCAGGTTGACCACGTCGCCCACCTGGCCCTTGCCGTCGTTGCTGACGCCATCGCCAGCGTATTCTCCGTTGCCCAAACTTTGCACCAGCTCATCCGTGAATTTCTTCACTGGCTCGACGACGTCCACCTTCTTTGCGACACCCAGAAGCAAGCCCTTGGTGATCCTCCCGATACCAGCACCGCAATCGGCGACGCGTTCGAGGGGTGGCAGAGGAATTTTCGACGTCGGTGTCTTGCCGCGTCGCAGCTTTGTAAGGAAGTTGGAGGAGCCCTGGAGATCGATGCGCGACGTCTGTGGGTAGCCGCCGAGCATGCCATTGACGTCTGAAGATACGCTATTCCAATAGCCGAGTGAATGGTCGATGTTTATCGAGGCATCGGGACGGTTTGGATCGAGGGGCGCGTCCACGTGCGGGTCGCTCTGCATGTCCATGAGTGAGTGTACCGGGTTATTACGTGCTGAAGAGCTGTGAAGGCGGGCGTCTCGAAGTGTTGTAGCTGCACTCGTGTATGCTATTTGTTTTCAATCGCTGCCAGTGGTTTGTTCCTGCAGGCATGGACGATGGCGGGGTAGCTTCACTTCGCCATGCAGGGCGCGTCGCAACGCGCTCACCTCCAGCATCGGCCGCTCGACCGCTCGACCGCGCGACCACGCGATGCTCTTGTAAGCATCGCGACGCACCAGTGCATGCAATATGTACACAAAGGCTACGCCATGGGCGCAAATGCAACCGATAGGTCTGTACAAAGTGGAGTGTGGGGTGCAGGAACCCAAACGAGCAGTTCGACGCGAACAAGCTAGCTATCGTCATAACCGCGGGGTCCTCCACCACTTGGGAAGCTTCCACGGGCCGTTTGTCGGAAACGTAGTCAGCCTATAGATAGTGAGCTGTCTCCTCTGCCGGCCAGAGACATGCTCAGTCTCTACTCCGTCTTTTCGAGAGCTTCTCTTCATCTATCACGCTCAGCAACTCGTCCATCTTCCATCCGAAAGGCTTTCAACTCGCAACCTCGCAGTTTAGTCAGGTACTACTCGGCCATTACCAACATGTCGGATCTCTTCGTTGAGCTCACGGCCCCGAATGGGCACAAGTACCTGCAGCCCCGCGGTCTCTTCATCAACAATGAGTTTGTAAAGTCAAAGTCTGGCGAGACTATCACCACCATCAACCCAAGGTATGTGTCATCGCCCAACTGTACATGCTCACTTGGCTGATAGAGCGGCAGCGATGAAACAGAAATCTGCTCTGTCTATGCAGCCGGCCCGGAAGATGTTGACATCGCTGTTGCAGCGGCACGAAAGGCGTTCAAGCACCCCGACTGGCGAGACATGGACACCAATACTCGAGCCGATCTGTTGTTCAAGTTTGCTCAGCTCATTGATGCGCACAGGGAGACGCTAGCCACCATTGAAACTTGGGACAACGGCAAGCCATACTCGGTGTCCTTCAAGGAGGACCTAGGCGAAGTCATTGGCACCATCAAGTACTATGCCGGGTATGCGAACAAAATCCATGGCACTGTCATTGACACTTCACCCGCCAAGTTGGCTTACACAGTTCGCGAGCCTCTCGGTGTCTGTGGGCAGATCATCCCCTGGAACTTTCCTCTGGCCATGGCAGCATGGAAACTGGGCCCTGCGCTGTGTACAGTGTAACACCATCGTCCTCAAGGCTGCCGAACAGACACCACTTTCTATCTTGTATCTCGGATATCTTGTGAAAGAAGCCGGATTCCCGCCAGGTGTAATCAACTTCCTCAACGGTGATGGAAGGAAAGCGGGTGCAGCCCTTGCACAGCATATGGACGTCGACAAAATCGCCTTCACTGGCTCAACAGCCACCGGAAAAGAAATCATGAAGATGGCGGCTGTAAACATGAAGAACATTACCCTTGAAACTGGAGGAAAGTCGCCGTTGGTTATCTTTGACGATGCTGAACTCGATCAAGCGGTGAAATGGGCACACACTGGTATCATGTAAGTAATAAAACTGCATTCATCGCATCTCTACTAACATCTTGGAGGTACAACCAAGGCCAAGTGTGCACCGCGACATCGCGCATACTGGTACAGGAGGCTGTTTATGAGAAATTCATCGAGTCTTTCAAAGCACATGTCAAGAACACGTCCATAGTCGGCGATCCGTTCAAGGACGACACTTTCCAGGGGCCACAAGTTACCAAGGCTCAGTTTGAGCGCATCCTATCATACATTGAGTCTGGAAAGTCTGAGGGGGCTAAGCTTGTAGCCGGTGGAGAGGCTTACAAGAATGTGGGCGGTAAGGGCTTCTTCATCTCGCCTACCATCTTCGTAGACGTCAAAGACCACATGAAGATTTACCGGGAAGAGGTTTTTGGCCCATTTGTCGCCATAAGCTCCTTCAAGACGGAGGAAGAGGCTATTGAGCGCGCCAACGACACTTCATATGGTCTTGGAGCCGCGGTCTTTACCCAAAACATCACCAAAGCACACCGTGTAGCTCGAGCGATCGACGCTGGTATGGTCTGGATCAACTCAAGCAATGACTCTGACATTCGCATTCCATTCGGAGGCGTGAAGCAGAGCGGTATCGGGAGAGAGCTTGGTGAAGCCGGCCTTGAGGCGTACACAAACAAGAAGGTACGAATTTTGCTCCATACAGGGGCTCCATGTGCTGACAGTGACAGGCAATCCACGTGAATCTTGGGACCAAGTTATAGAGAACAGCATTCTGTATGAATTGCAAGCGAGCTTCTAGGACACACAAATAGCCTGAATCTCTTGCCCAAGACTTCTCCAAACCAGGTCACGCGGGACCCAAGCCCCCGTCGTCGGGTCTCGGGCTTGGCGCCACGGCTTGGTGGTAGTCTCACGTCATATGTATTAGCGACCGTTGATGTACATGCTCGATAATTTTCTAGCTATGAACCACAATGACTGATGTGAGGCATTTGCGCCTCTTTTAAAGCTCAAACCATGTACCAGTGCGCGCAATTCGGTCCTGGGACTATAGTCGATAAGGTTGGGCCGCAAGAGAAAAATGTCTCAATTGCCTGATGGGTGCAAGTCTAAATGCGTGAATATTTCTGCGGACACGGAGCGTGCTGTGAGCATTTCTTGCGTGAAGTGAGATTACATTGTGAATGGAGAAGTCCGTCCGCGGCGTGTCTGCGAAAGTCCAGGAGTGGAGAACGTATGATGTTGTTGAATCCGTGGAGAAACGTGAAGTGCCAGCTGCTCTTGTCTGCCTCAGAGAGACGGTGTCAACAAGCAACGGGAGATACTTCAATGAGGCAAGATAGCAGCCGAGCCGTTGTCTTGGTTTGCTGGCAAACAGAGAGGTGCCCCCAGTCATGCCGTGGAAGTGGCTTGCTTTGTGTGTTCGCATCGCACGGCTGAGCATCATCCCTGTCCCATAAAGACTTGGCGCAGAATCTCAGTCACGCACCAAGTAGCAAATCACAGCAACCTCTTCGTTCGCTCTCGTGTGGATTCCTCGTCGTCCTTTGTGCCCCTCGCTAGACAAACACCATCGCTTTATTCCCGGCCGGCATTCTTCACCACTGTGTGTAGAACGCAGAAGGAATATCGCCGCTGTCTGCTCACCCGCCTGGACTTTGGCTAGTCTGCGCTCGTTCGTCCGCTAGTAGAGGCTCACACGCCGCCCTCACCACGGCGTCACTGCGGGCTCGTGTCCTTACTAAGTGCGGCTTACCAGGTAGCTGCATCCCCGCCTCTGGTTGCTAGGAGCTCGAGATCACCGCCAGCCACAGCTACATCTGCGCCCTTGAGCCCACTCTGCGCATCGTGAGCCCTACACAGCCCTCTTGCACCCACCCACCACCGCTCTGGCGCGCAAGCGGAACCCCGAACACTCCCCCGTCGCCTCCTCCTCTTCGCAGGCCTGGCACAAGCAGAGCCCTTCGAAGAAGATAACGACAGCGCCGACGGAGGCTCGTTTTCTCGCTTTCTTGTCTCGCCTCTACCGACCGCCTTAACACGTGCATTTACCCAGGTGCACAAATACCTACTCGCCCAATTTACATTCGAGAGCCGTGACTGCCATTTGCGTCATCGCTCGTGGAGTTGGGGAAAGAACGGCCATCATCGCTTCGCCCTTGCGAGTTGCCATCTCCGCAGTCGCTGCCAACCCGCCAGCAGGGCCGACACTTTCTCGTGACATATCGATCCACGCCACTGCACACTTCCGACTCTCGCTTGTAGCAGCCCGACCACGATGGGCAACCAGCCGTCCAGCGAGAAAAAGGCCAAAGGCGAGAAGGGTGGTGCCGACGGCGTTCCTCTAGGACGTGAGTACTACCGCTCTTTCGAGCGATCTGACACCAAGGACTCAACACGCTCTCTGCGCACCTCGCTGCGAAACAAGATTCCAGGCACAGGCAAAACCGACAGCCCACGCAATTCCGTCGCCAACCTCACCGACACGAACGGGAAGCCCGACAAATCAGACGCTGCTTCGACGAGATCGGACAAGAGCCGTGGCGGCAGAAGTTCCCGGCGAGGCTCGGTGGCTTCTGCTTCGGCACCTGCACCTGCCCCAGAGACAATCAGTACTGAGAATGCGCTAGTTGAGCCGACCTCCCCAGACGAGGAGCAACCGCCTCCTTCGCCAATCCAAGGTGCTACACAAGGGACCGCACACGAAGGAGTGAGCAAGGCACAAGAGACAGGCGAAGTCGACCATGTCTCGGACATTCCACCGTCTGGCGCCTCGGTTCCGCTGGCGTCGGCTCAACCGGGAGAGTCTATTCTGCAAAAGAAGGATCACCCGATTCCACGGATTCCCGAACCACCTGCGGCGAACGACGGACAAGGGTCACCAATGGAGATCAGTGCGCTGAAGTCCATGGATCTTGACGACATGATCCAGCGGCTGCTAGACGCGGCCTATGCAGGCAAGGTTACGAAGACGGTCAGCCTGAAGAACGCGGAGATTTTCGCGATTTGCTCAGCCGCCAGAGAAGTCTTCCTCAGCCAGCCAGCATTGCTAGAGCTGTCAGCGCCAGTAAAGATTGTAGGCGATATTCACGGACAGTACACTGATCTTATCCGCATGTTCGAAATGTGCGGATTCCCGCCGAACTCGAATTACCTATTCCTAGGCGACTACGTCGATCGCGGCAAGCAAAGCCTGGAGACGATCCTCCTTCTTCTCTGCTACAAACTCAAGTTTCCTGAGAATTTCTTCCTTTTGCGCGGCAACCACGAGTGCGCAAATGTTACGCGAGTCTACGGTTTCTACGACGAGTGCAAAAGAAGGTGCAACATCAAGGTCTGGAAGGCTTTCGTGGATACATTCAATACCCTGCCAATTGCCGCTATCGTCGCGCAGAAGATCTTCTGTGTCCACGGTGGGCTTTCACCGAGCTTGTCGCACATGGACGACATTCGCCAGATCGCCCGTCCGACTGACGTGCCAGACTACGGGCTACTGAACGACCTTTTGTGGAGCGATCCGGCGGACATGGAAAACGATTGGGAGTCGAACGAAAGAGGTGTTAGTTACTGCTTTGGCAAGAAGGTCATCATGGAATTTTTGCAACGGCATGACTTTGATCTCGTTTGCCGAGCACATATGGTGGTGGAAGATGGATACGAGTTCTCTTCAACGATCGTGTCTTAGTCACCGTATTTTCGGCACCAAACGTAAGTAGACGATGTGCACCCAATTAGACACTGCTAACACAACTCAGTACTGTGGCGAATTCGACAATTGGGGCGCCGTCATGTCGGTCTCAGGAGAGCTGCTTTGCAGTTTCGAGCTCCTCAAGCCCTTAGACTCCAGTGCGCTTAAGAGCCACATCAAGAAGAGCAGGAACAAGCGTCAGAGCATGCTCAATTCACCAGTACGTACCGCATGTGATGGTTTAGAGAGTGAAGGATCCCCTTCAGAGCCATCTATAGTATATATTGCACCCTTACTGACTTTGCCTTCAGCCGGCTCACTATGCTCCTCAAAGTTACTAACTGTCTGCTCTCTTTAGGGTGCTGACAGTGTTACCTTCCCCGGATCTCCGATCATCGCCAAAGCCGCTATACTCGACCGAGACGCCCCGGGATACATTGATTACAAGGAGCAGAACAAGGCAATGGATGCATTTGACAAGCTGGAAAGGCATCGGCGTGTGCGAAGAAAGGCTGGTTCGGATCAGCTGGGCTCACAAGGCGACTGCGCCTCGACACCTACACCAAGAAGGACCGGACACATCAGGTCTCAGACATGGAGCGACTCCATGAACGCTGCTAGTAACGACGATGCTAAGGCGTCACTACTCCGAAACATGCAACAACTCGACCTAGAGAACTCGGGCACACGGAAACGTCAGCTAGAGGACCAACGAGCCCTCTGGGAAGCAAACCTGCCAATGCCTTCGCCTATCTGTGTTGGTCGATACTTGTCCGAACATGTTTGAGCTCGCGCTCTGTCGCATCAACCCTCGGAAACATGCTCAACTATCACTATATCTCTCTGGTGGTCTTCTGGCTCTCTCATCTCTGGTTTTGATGGTGCAATACCATCACCCTTTTTCTTTACAGGCAGCTCTTCTCTCTGTGTTCTTGCTCTTCGTACTATTGAGCTTGGTTGGATCACGCTAGCGGCGACGGCGTTTAATTCTGGGGGTATTAATAATGTGTTCAACCAGCCAGCGACTTGTTTCAAGTTGCGATGGTTTTTTGTTATATTGGCAAAAGCGCGATGTATAGCATGACGGATGTTGAAACTGGTCTTGGTGTATTACTTCTCATGGCTGCTCAGGGCCCTGTGTGGCCATGACAGATTTAGGGTGCAATAGTGCTAATGATGAATCGTCTTGCCACTCCATGGCAATTTCTAACTTTGACTTTGACGTCTGTATGCTAAGCCTTCGCAGTTAAAGTGAGCTGGAAAAGAACTTTCAGGTCATACGGCGTGGGATAGGCTACCAAGTGGTGACAGACTTATAGTGGTGTGGGGTATTAATATAGCTACTTCATCTAAGAGCTCACCAGTAGGCGATTAAAGCGCACTCGGCATGCGCGATCGGCGGCGCTCAGATGGGGTAAATCTGGATGGTGCCGATAATCCTCGCAATGTCGCAGCTGCTTTCGAAGAACGAACATTGTTGTCGTTGAAACGCTGTGCTACTATGCGGAAGCTAGGATTCTCCAGCACTGTCCATTTTCGCAGACACATCCGCTAACTACCTAGCTTCGCGGGATCTAGGGACGTTTTTCCAACGTATTGGCTTGCTTTTTCGGCGCCCCGCGTTTCGGAGGGAGTAGATTGGATTCTGGAAGCTCGCGTGACAACGTGACTGACGATCATTCCGTCGAGTCCCACCGCGGAATAGATGGACTGGCTGCTGGGGTACGCGAACCCGTGGCTTGATCCTGCACGGAACATCTTCCACCTTGAGAGCTTGGCTGTCAAGGCCACCTACCGTTTCCTGCATCAGACGAAACACCAGCTGCTTGTCGCAAATCACACAAGGGCCATCAACATCAACAAAAGGTAGAACGCATCAATCACATACATTGTCAAATTTCCTGGACGCCACCAATTGGCTATGGCCCCAATCGATAGCAAGTGAGGGTCCTAGCCGAGCTGCATGTTTCTGGCTAAATACCCGGTCATCATCGGTACCTGCAAACATTTGAGTGGTTGGCGGTTATGCACGTCAAACCGGGTTGTCGAGATTATGGCGTCTTGGACGAGTAGTGTTCTGGAAGGAAGTAGTGTGCTGGGGTCTGAAAGCCGTGGCTGCGTGATGGGATTATATGACTGCGCCGTACCCCATGGTCGTGGGTTTCACTTTGCTGACCTGCAGTCGAGAGGGCCATGTGCGACAATCGAGTGCTGGTACAAGTCTGTGTTGACTGCAATCGTGCGAGAACAGACCTGGATTATTCTACACCATGGGCATGACGGAGGTCAAGATGGATACTCAGTACCCGAAAAGAGATGGACGGTCCAGCACCACACGGCGCAGCAGCGTGACGGCGGAAATCAGACAGGTGCAAAATGTTGCGCTTGCTGATGCTACAGCAAAGGCTGGTGTGTCACCATGGACAATGGCAATGTTCAAGGTCAGAATCCTCCTTGTTCATACTTCTCATTACCATCACATCTAACATGCAAGTTAGCTCTATCTTTGCCTCTTCATCGCCACCCTAAATTCTTGCATAAACGGCTACGACGGCTCACTCATGGGCGCAATCAACGACTATCGCCAGTACCGCGAGTACTTTGGCTTCGACCTCGACGTCGGCACCCCGGCTACGGGTATCGTCTACGCCATCTACACTATCGGCAACCTAGTCGGCTCTTTCGTCGCCGGCCCAGCAACGGATTTCCGCGGTAGGAAATGGGGCATGTTCATCGGCTGCAGCATCATCATGGTCGGCGCCTGCGTGCAAGCTACATGCACCAATCTCGGCGGCTTCATGGGCGGACGCTTCGTTTTAGGATTCGGTGTCGCTATCACTTCGACTGCTGGACCCGCATATGTCAGTGAAATGGCACATCCGGTTTACCGGGGCGTTTGTACAGGCGTGTTCAACACGTTCTGGTATGTCGGTGGTATTCCGGGTAGTTTTGTGCCATACGGGACGCAGCACATTGATGGCTCGCAGTCATGGCGGATCCCACTGTGGTTGCAAATGGTATTTGCGGGAACGGTGCTCGTGTGCTCACCGTTCTTGCCTGAGACGCCTAGGTGGTTGATTGCGAATGATAGGCATGAGGAGGCGCTAGATACCATGGCCAAATTTCATGGAGAGGGAAGCAGGTATCACCCAATCGTCGTTTTGGAGTACAAGGAGATGGTAGAAGACATCTCGACGACCGGAAGCGATAAGCGCTGGTGGGATTATAGGGTATGTTGTTCCTTTTGAGACTTCATGGTGTTCTCATGTGGTGGTCGGCGTGCGTCGAATCGGACTGACACTCAACGACAGGAACTCTTCAACTCCCGCGAAGCCCGCTATCGTACCATGCTCGTCATCTCCATGGCATTCTTCGGTCAATGGAGCGGGAACGGGCCCGTCTCCTACTACTTCCCAACCATTTTGCGAGGCGCAGGTATAACCGACCGAAGCACTCGTCTTCTCTACAACGGCATGCAAAACGTCGTATCTTTCGCCGGAGCCATCTTCGGTGCCTTCTATACGGACAGTTGGGGTCGACGACCGCAATTACTGGTTTCCACGGCCTGTCTCGTAGTCATCATCGCTATCGTATGCGCCCTTGTCGCCCACAAACCTCAAGAAAGACGCCATGGGCCAGTACATATACGACGCGAACAAAACGCCTCAGATCAAATCGAACGCGCAGGCTCGCGCTGTCATCGCATTCGTCTTCCTCTTCGGCTTCGTGTACTCAACCGGATACACGCCGCTCCAACAACTCTACCCCGTCGAATGTCTGCGCTACGAGTCGCGCGCCAAAGGAATGGCATTCTACAACTTCTGGGTCAACATTGCAAATTTCTACAACACTTTTGTAACAGGAATAGCGTTCTCTGGCGCAGGTTGGAAGGTAAGTCAGCATCCACTTCCCCAACCCACCATACCTTTGCTCAAACTCACACTACCAAACTAGTACTACTTTCTCTTCATTTTCTGGGACATGTTCGAATTCGCCTTCATCTACTTCTTCTTCGTGGAGACGCGGCGCCGCACGCTCGAGGAAATCAGCGAGATCTTCAATAGCCGCAAGCCGGTCAAGACGAGCTTGAATCAGACAAGGATCATCATGCATGGGAATAGGGGCGTTACAGAAATGCTGGATAAGGAGGAGGGGGTAGAGGGGATGAGTATGGTTAGAGAGAGGGCGAGGGGGAGGTTTGAAATGGTTGGATTTGGGAATGGGAGGGGATGAGGATGGGGCGGACGCCATGATTATGACAATGAATCTTTTGTGAATACTTTCATTGGTTTCTTATACGAGCGTGCTGATGCGCCACCCACGAGCAGGATATCGTTGAACTTCGAGATGGTAGTGATACCTATACTGTCGATCTGTGCAGCATCCCCCGTTCATATCTATCCTGGAAAGCAGCTTCTTGGGCAACGTAGAGATCACAGACGGCTCTATGAGATAAAAATGAGAGAGCTATAGCACGATTCCGAGGCCTGAAACGATCATACAAAATTATGTGTTGCTCTCCAATGCGGTATGCTTGATCTGGTGCATCGAGCGTTCAGTAGAAGAGATACATACTGATTGACGTTAAATTATATTTACACGATAAGCTTTCAGGAATGATTTCCTGCAAGAACTCTCAGAATCCCTGCTGTAAGTTCCTTAGCTGATAGTGTGCATTCGCACTCTTTTGTTCATGTGTGTGGGTAACACCGCGCACGAATTTAGCCTCATTTTATGACGTCATTCAGCGACCAGTTTTCTCGCTCCTTTTAAGTTTGGCAGGTACACGAACACCTTCAAAACAGTCCCAACTCCACGGTCAACTAGAGAGGAATATCAATCCAAGCATCTGCCAAGTCGCCCTGTAAACCATGTTCCTCCAAGGGAGTCCCTGCCAAGTAAAGATGATGTTCGCAGCGATCCGCATTCTAGACACGTCTATCGAAAACCTTTTCGCACCAGCAAAGGCTATTTTTGGGCCATGTAGCTCGCATTGTGGACGATGCGCCGCGACGGCTTGTCACAAGCGTCCTTCTATTGTCATCGATTAGGTATCGATACGCCGATACCCCATGACGTATTAGCGCCGATGACACCGGAGAGAGGCTTCTAGTGATCCCAACAAGGGACTGTGAGGTTGCATGTCAAGATGCCACGCGTACAATAAACTTTGATTGTTTGCTTTCTTTCTATTACCAACATTTTTTCCTCGACAAACAACAACTGGACTTGCATTTTTGTGTTTCGTTTTGTCTTTCTTACGCTCGCTGGCTCAATTTTTCTTTTTGACTGCGATGGATGTGAGGCGGCGACAGGATGGCGAAAGCTCTACAGACAAGTTCTTGGATCTGATTGCAGACCCGTTTCAAGCAGAGGTATAGCTTTTGAGAGTGTGACTGCGAACCACTCGCTAACTTGTTCAAAGGTTCAACAAAACTCTATATATGCTGCCATAGTGTACAGCTTCGTCTTAGCTGGGGTCCTTTTCCTTCTTTTCTGTTTCTTACGACCCAGAAATGGTCGAGTATACGCACCGCGAGCCAAACATGCCGACGAAAAACACCGACCGATACCACTGGGGAAGAAGCCATTCAGTTGGTTCTCTGCGATTAAAGATGTCAAGGAGCAGGACCTGGTGGACAAGATTGGGTTGGATGCCGTCGTCTTCCTACGGTTTATGCGGATGATACGAAATATCTTCTGCGTGGTCACAGCCTTGGGATGCGGTATCTTGATACCAATCAACGTCGTGGGAGGGTCGCCGTTCTACAAACAGTGGAATTCGGTGCCCACCCTGCTCAAATTGACCCCTCAGTATATTTTTGGGCCAAAGTTCTGGGCGTATGTGATTGTGGCATATTTGATGCAGGGCACAGTCTGCTTCTTCCTGTGGTGGAATTACAGAGCTGTGTTCAAGTTAAGGAGGACTTACTTCGACAGCCAAGAGTACAAGGCTAGTTTGCACTCGAGATCTTTGCTGGTACGTTAATTTCGTGTAATATTGGACGACGCACTAACGGCAATTCAGCTCACACACATCCCCAAAGCCTCGCGTACCGACGCCGGCATCGTCGACCTTGTCGAGCAAGCGAAGCAAACCAGCGATATACCCCGCACAGCCGTCGGACGCAATGTGAAGGATCTACCAAAATTAATCGAGGCACATAGTGAAGCTGTCAGAGCCTTGGAGAAGCATCTCGCAACATACCTACGCAACCCGGACCGGCTACCTGCCAAACGACCTACCTGCAAGGTCGCAAAAGAGGACCAAGCTGCTCAAGGCAAAGGCAAGGTCGACGCCATCGACTATCTCAGTGCAAGGATCGCACAGCTTGAGGTCAACATCAAAGAGGTCCGGGAGAGTGTCGACATGCGCAATCCCATGTCTTATGGCTTCGCATCGTACACCCACATCGAAGATGCCCATGCAGTTGCTTATGCCACACGGAAGAAAGGGCCTGGTGGCTGCGACGTCTATCTTGCTCCGAAGCCGCATGACCTTCTGTGGCAAAATCTTGCCATGAGCCGAAGGACGCGCCGCGTCAGGAAGTTTTGGGATGGTCTCTGGATTGTTCTCTTCACCATTGCCTTCATTGTCCCTAACATCCTCACCTCGGTCTTTCTCAGTGACTTCAGCCATCTCGGGCTTGTTTGGCCTGCTTTCCAGCAGAACCTTCTTGCGCATCCTACAGGCTGGGGTATAGCACAAGGTATTTTGGCACCGCTGGTCCAAACCTTGATGTACATGGGAGTGCCTGTCGTTTTCCGCCGTCTGTTCACACATTCTGGCGATGTGTCAAGGACATCCAGGGAGCGCCATGTCACTGCTCGGCTATATGCCTTCTTCGTCTTCAACAACCTCCTCGTATTCTCCGTCTTCGGTTCTGCCTGGAGATTCGTTGCCTCTGTGATTGCAGCTCAGGATCGAGGTGTTTGGCAAGCCATCCAAGATGGTCATCTTTTCAGCCAGCTTATGACTGGTTTGTGCAACGTCTCAACCTTCTGGTTGACATGGCAGATGCAGAGGAATTTGGGCGCTGCAATCGATCTCTCGCAAGCTTGGATTTTCACATGGAGCTGGATACAGCGGAAGTGTTTCTCACCAACGCCACGCGAGCTGATCGAGCTCAGTGCTCCACAGCCTTTCCCATACGCCGACTACTACAACAATTACCTCTTCGTTTCCACTGTGGGGCTCTGTATGGGTATTCTACAACCCATCATTCTGCCAGTCACAGCCTTTTATTTAGGCATGGACTGCGTTTTTAAGAAGTACCTATTGCAGTATGTCTTCATCACAAAGACGGAGTCTGGAGGACGATTCTGGAAAGTTCTCGTTAACCGGATACTTTTCGCTGTATTGCTGGCGAATGCCGTCATTGCTCTGATTGTAGGTGCGCAGGGAGTTGGTTCCATCAACTCGGTACAGAACGGAAACATGCTTTACGCCATGATACCATTGCCGGTCTTACTCCTCCTCTTCAAGTGGTATTGCCGTCGCGCATATGACGATAAGCTCGTATACTACGCCACGATACCCTATTCGGATTTGGAGGGTTCTCAGCATCCGGATCATCCGTCATCGAAGAAGAGGAACCAAAAGGTGGCTGTTCGTTACGGCAACCCCGCGATATACAAGAGACTACTCACGCCAATGGTTCACGCAAAGTCTCAGCACCTTCTTAAAGAGATATACCACAGTCGATCAGCCACTGCGCACAACATCTTCGACGCTCCGCACCGTCGCTCAACTGACCGCGCAAGGCCCGAAAGTATGGCCTACGGGGACATGTTCGAGCTGCAACCCCAGCCCGCCGACAAAGCAGCCGACGGCGCGCCCGAAATGCCAAACGTGGAGCTAGTCGCGGAGGGTGATCTTGACTTTGAAAATTTCAAGAAGCGCGCCGAGTTCAGGGAGCAGTTTGGTGGCGACGGAGAACTCTACGGACGACCGGAGGATATGAGCTCTAGGCCGGGAACGCCTAGCACGTTTACTACATTCACCGAGAGGGCGCCGTATAGATTGCGGGAAACGGGTTCAAGAGCTTCGAGCGTGACTAGGCTCGGCGATATTGAAGACCCTGAGCAGGGTGTTGAGTACGCGCCAGGTTACCGCCAAGCTCCGGCAGGCGATGGCATTGTTGGCGGCGGTATCCATGCCATGCCCTTGGACGCCGAGCAAGTTTTAGAGACAACAAGCAGTCAGCAGCCCCTGATGCATGTAGATCAGAAACACGCCGAGAACGATGGAGATGAAGGTTATTTCCATCAGAACTCGAGCAACGAAGACACGAGTTATGAACGATATAGAAGCGCGAGGTGATTGAAAGAGCGCATATATGGTTTAAAAAAATTTAATAGCGAATGATAAATAATGAATACATTGAGAAAAAGAATATGATCTAGATGTGTGACATGCATTCGTCGTTCTTCTATGCGTCTACCGCCATGCTCCACTATGCGAAAATGCTCTGTTCTTCGCCTCAACTCCGCCAACTCGTACATCGTCAATAGAGAAAATCAACAACGAAGACCTCCGCGCCTAGACCGATGATAACATGACATCTAGTACTTCCTCTTGCGGGCGACAACGACGGCATTAATAGCAGTGGGCTCGCCGTACAACTCGGTGATTTGGAACTTCTGTCCAACAGTCATCGGTGCACCTGCGCCAGTGTTGTTGGTAGGGGTAGTCTCGTTGGCGGGGGCAGGCTTCATGGCGCCAGCGGTACCGGCCAAGGTGCCAATTTCAAGCATGTTGGCGGTTCCAAGATCAGCCTGGATGAAGCGGGAGTTGAACTTGACGACGCTCTTGATCGTGTTGAAGTCGGCAACGCTGATGTCGAGCGGGTCCTTGACAATCATGAAGGTGACGCCCTCGGCGCAGGGAGGCGTGGTGAGGGAACCAGAGTACTGAAGGATCTCGGAGGACTCGATCTTAGCAGTGACGTCGGCGAAGTCGATGCCGCCGGGGATGGCAACCTTGGTGCCTGGAGTGCGGATGGTCTCAACAGATGAGGCGAGAGACTTGATGATTGAAGACGACTCGCCCTCAGCAACCTGGAACATGAGAGCGATGACAGCAAGTTGGGTGTTGTCGGCTGAGGTTACGTTAGGCCATGTTTAGACTTGGTAAAGTGTGGGAGTGAGCTTACCGACGCCCTGGTGGACCATGTGGACCTCGAGAGGGTGGTACTCTCCGTTGATATGGTGCTCAGATGGGGTGTGCATGTGGAACTGGACGAGCTGGAAGTCTGCGCCGGCAACAGTTGTGGTACCATTGACGATGACCTCAATGGTAGTGCCCAAGTTCTCGAACTCAACCTCCTGTTCGGGAATGTTGAGGACAGGCTTCTCGGTTAGGGTAGTCAAGCGGGAGTCTAAACATGTTAGACGAAGCCAAGTTCTAAGTGGCTTGGGGTAGAGAACGTACCAATGTTGATAGGTGACTGGTTCTTCCCAGATTTGCATGCCTCGTTCTCAGCAGCAAGCGTTGCCCAGTTGAAGGGACCGTTGAGTGGGCCATAGCCGAAGTTCTTGACCTCAACACCACCCTCTGCAGTCTCAGCACGCTTCTTGAACATGGACAGGCCATGGGTACAAGTGGCCGAAGCGGTGCTAGCGAGGAGGAGGAGTTGGAAGAGCATGATGAAAGAATGTGAGGGAGTGACTGAACGATTCGAAGAATGTACAGATAGGTAGCGGGTCTATATGCTGATGTTGCCGAGCCTCCAAGAAGCGATAGGGCTTATACGCCGACAGTAAGACGGTTAGGTGGAGTTCTACACGGAGCCAAGAAGAATGACGGTGATGAAGACAACAGGATCTACCCGAGAAAGTATTATCAGATAAATGAAGGCGGCGCAGCCGGAAAGAATGTAAGAGCGATTAGAGAATGTACAAACACGTAAAGAAGGAAACGCGAAAGTTGAAAGCTAGATACCTCACTATTGCATGGCAGGAAACCAGGCATATAAACCGCTCTCGCCTGGTGTCTTGCGTGGCTAACGAAACCGAATCTAGGACTATTTTCTCCGTGGGTGCAGGGCCAAGATGCCCTGCCAAGTCACACGCACAAGACTCCTTGAGAACGCCGCTCGCGGGGTTGGTAGGAAGGAAGCCGAAGGAAGCGGCAGGATAGGGAAGCCAAGATGACATGGGTACCAAGGCAAGATTCGAGTGCTTTAAGAACCGCCCAGAGCACTTGGACCGGGGTCAAGAGCCATTTGACAGCTGCTTAGGGAATCCTTCCGCAATCTGGGCAATGAAACAACTTGGAAGCTTCGCATATGGATTGGTATGGCGCGGACTAAAGGGTCAGCTTGCAAAAGTCGTTAGTTGCGCTGAGTTTTCCCCCACTCGTAAATCGTTCACTGCTTGTGTATGGTTCACGGAGCCAAATTCCAACGATGGAACGTTCACTACAAGCGTCAGGCATCCAACCCATTCTGCTTTGCAATGGAAACCGACAGTGATTGAGAATGCTGAGAGTGGCGTGTTGTCGCCTTCTCGTGAGGCTGCGAGCCGAGTCGTGGCCCCAAGACTGAAACACCGCCCTCAGGCTCACACATGCCCCTTGGCATCTCGTTCCTCTTTCCGGAAGCAGGATGCGACAGTTGACAGGGCTCACCTTCCTTGCACCGCTCGAGCCGCGATTTGACAGGTTCCCGATGCCCCATATTGCCCCTTGTTAAGCCCTATCTAACGGCTTTTGCTCACGGACGAACCAAGCCTCAAACAGGCTGTCGCCCTATGGGGCTCGGTATCAGGCCATCATGAAACCTGGGGAAATGCGGAAGGTGATGGCGAGAACGACATTTTCAGGCGAAGATCGAGGTTGTTGCCTTGGCGCCTCAGGTCAAGAATAGAAAGTGATGGGCCATGAGATGTTTGCCAAGGGCAGCGGAGAATTGCATCCAGCCTCGCAAAAGCAGCCAAGATGCTAGTGTGGCGGAAGGATGAAGGCGAGTCGCGGCGGGTAAACGTCGCACAGATATGCATGGCGAGAGCTTGAGCAGCGTCTCCAAAGGCTTCGCAACAATTCACGATTAACTTTGACGTGCACCCGCACTTGCTCAGCTCAGGCTACTATCTGTCAACGAACTTTATGAGACGGGTCGATCGCGGTTCGCCCACTCTGCTGGTTGCTGTCAGCAATAAGCCCACGTGTTGCTAGTGCTAGCGTGGTCAGCTCCGTAACGTCACCACTTGATTATTCGGACCTACACCACGACATCCAGTCACGATGCGGAGTTTAATACTCCAATTTAATTGGGTCAAGTTGCCCAGGTTTCTTGGTGTCGAATGTTTAGTCGTACGATATGCCAAGTACCGCCACCCGATCCTGGGTCCGAGTTCCTCCTCAGACACACATGGCCCCTACTTCCATGCGCGGCTTCGGCAACATTGCAGCTGCTCAGATCGATCTTCAGCGTCATTATCAGAAGATATTTCTTTTCAACATCCTAACATGATTGAAAGAGCGAAGTTGTCGAGCAAATACTCTGATGATGCACATGTGATCGATCAGTTTCGTTTCAACGAATTTTCCGAAATTGCTGCAGAAAGCTTAGGTATCTTGCTTGATCAAGCCGCGTCACAAACGCCCGCAAGGACGGCGAGGTGCTTTTACTTTCCCCCGAAGCAGAGCCGCAACATACAAAACCGAGAGCTCACCAGTACAGGCCACCCACCAATTGTTTCACCTAAGCCGTAGACATTTATCGTTCATTGGAAAACTAGGGAATGTCGCCAATCATAGCTTTACCCCCCAGACGCCTCTTCCTCCAGCGACGCCGAGCCACTCGCCTCCTTGCCCCGTGAGTGCGCTCTGTGGCGCCCAACTAATGTTCCCGACTTCGTAATCACATCTCCAACTAGCATATGGCCCCTTCTGGCCAACAGGCGCATTCTGTGCCCCTGCTGCTCCATTTGCAGGATGGGCGCTTGGTGGCGGTTGCGGCGGTGCTGCATGCTCACTACTTATTGCTGCGCCGTTGTTGGCGTGTAACAGATCCCATACGAGGACGAGAGAATCATCTCCACCAGAGGCTAGCATACCTCTCCGTGAGGGGTTCCATTCGATGCTGTTCACTGACGACGAATGTCCACGGAGCTCAAGAAGAGCCTGCCCAGGCTGCCGCACGTCGAGAATGCGAATGAGGTTTGAATCGGCAGCGAATGTAGCTAGGAGATGCGAATCATGGGGTGAGGCGGCGAGACGGAGCAGCGGGGGCGCGTACGACATTGTCTGCTGAGCCTTGGTGGGTGACATTCGACCGCTTGTCGGAGAGCCTTTGAGTATGTCAGTGATGTTCGGCGGGCTGAGTAACATTGAGACTCACCCTTGTCGCGGTCGCCGTTCTTATCAGAAGGCTCGTAGATGATGGTGCTGTGCTCGAGACTACGCAGGTCGAACATGCGCACGCTACCATCGGCTCCACAGCTTACAAAAACGTCGACGCTTCCGGCGCAGAAACGCACATCGAAGACCTCCTTGTCGTGTGCAATCAGCTGCGTTTTGGCAGTGAGTGAAGGTATATCCCAAATGGTGCACGTCGTGTCTATGCTGGACGTGATGATGAGCTTCGGAGACAAGGTGTTCCAATCAAGAGAGGTGAGTGGCGCGGTGTGTTCGGGGGTTTTTGAATTGGAGAGGAGGGCAAGGGGCGTAAGCTTAGGTAGTTGAGGCTCTCGTGTGTTTATGGAAGAGGATCTTGTGATGGTGTTGCTCATGGTATTGCCAGAGCTCTGAGGTAGGGACCAGAGTCGCAAATGGTCACCAGATGTTGCGAGGAGGTCTGTCGACTGCTTCTGAGACGATGGTGGCTCCCACAGTATTCGTGTGACGGGAAATGAGCATGTGGCTTCGGCAACGGCGCTGTATTCCAGGCCATATGGTGATGCGCCGGGGGCTGTAACGTCCTGGGGGACAATCTGAGTATCTAGGATACGAATCTAGGCTGTTGTCAGCACAGGCGCATGCACACCTTAGACGTCACCTACAAAGTTGTGATTGTCTTCAAGATAGCTGCCCACAGCCATCTTTCCTGCGCTATTGCCGCCAGGGACGGCCCATTTGCACCAGTCGTATGCATATATGCTCCAAGGGGCGAGGTAATTGCTGTTGGTAGCAACTTTGCCCTGCTCGGTCGTCATGGCATTGCCGTGGCCCATTTGGCCCTCTTGGTCCATGGTCGAGTTTGCGCGTGGTCTGATGTCGGCGAGTCCCAGGGGGGAGTGGGAGGCAGCGCCCGAGGGCGTTGAAGGGTAGTACTTTTGCGAGGGCGTGTTGGGAGCGTACTTGGACTGCTCAGGCGTGTTGGAAAAAGGAATGTACTTCTGGTCGGGGCCCAGGCCAGCTGGACTCGATCGCGAATAGCCGTGCGAAGAATGTGGTGAAGGCTGCGACTGGTGGATGGTGTTGGAGCGCGTAGGGAGTGTGTACTGCTGGGCATTGCTGGGGATCTGGTTCTGCGTGGGCACCATTGCGGGCGCCGTGTACGCTGAGGAAGGCGCGGGTCGCTGCTGACCAGGACCAGCGGCGGGCTGCAGCCGCGTTGGGTACTGGCTGTGAGGGAGGGGGTGCCGTACTGCGCACTCCCGGGGGTTTGGCTTGCTGTAGCTGCATGCTCGGGGCCGCGTAGTTGTCGGGGGAATTGTACATGTTCGGCTGCTGATGCTGCTGATGCTGCTGCTGCTGCTGCTGCTGCTGCTGCTGCTGCTGCTGCTGCTGCTGCTGTTGCTGCGACGGTGGTTGGCCTGGAGCGGGTGCGTGTGCGGGCGCTGTCGCCGCAGTGGCCGTCTGGATATGAAGCTCGGATTCGGGCGCAGATGCACGGCTCGCAGTACCGGTGGGCGCTCGCCGCGGGGCTTCGAAGCTGGCTTGCGCTGCTGGGGGTGCCGTGTAGGGCTGCTCTATGGGCGACTGGACGCTGCTGGAGGGCTGGAAGGCGTCGGTGCCTGCGCTGGTTTGGCCTGACGTTGCGGCGCGCAGATTTCCCATGGGCGCGCCTATGCTGCCCAATGCCGCCGCGGCTTGGTATATCCCAGCCGCCGGGTTGTTCTGCGCATTCTGGTGGTGGCCGAAAGGCATGGCGGCGCACCGAATCGACAGCTCCGGGCGCTGTATACCGTACGAAAGAATCAGACTGGACGCTGCTGCGGCGCTCGAAGACGTGAAGTGAAGCCTGCGGAGCGGTGCGACTGCGGTCAACGTCGTCGTGCTGTGCTACGGCTCTATCTCGGCAGAACCCCCTCCACCCCACACTAACCACACCTTCCCCTTCATAGGCCACCTTTACGCCAGGGACTGTCTGTGACACTACGCCTTGCCCGTCCATGAGACCACCACGAGCTGCTTATCTCAGCGCCAGGCCCATCATTCCCATCGCCGCCACAACAACCACCAGTAGTCTCTGCATCAGTGCACGTGTGCGACGCTTCACTGCTATGGCGTCATCACCCAGGCGAGCACTATTGCTACTACCGCCTCCACCAAGTCCCTCATCGTATGCATCCGCTCAAGGCCGCCTACAACGCGCCCGTGTTTACTGTGCTGAAAGAACTGGCGCGGTCGTCCTTCCAAGCCCCGTCGTGCTCGACATCGCCCTTGCCTGTCCCAGAACTATATGGCAAGCTAGACTTACCTAGAGGGCCACTCTATGCAACCACGCAGCAATTAGTAGCCGATCTCTACAAGCTCATATGCATCAACGCGACCAAGCAGCCCATCGAAACTGAAGATGCAAACGCCGTCGACGCTCGCGTTGTACTTGTTGCGCATCCGAGAACTGGTCAGCCAAATGCTCCTCCAGCTGACACCACTCCAGAGCACGAGATGCAGGGTCCAGCCATTGACATTCATACACTGGCTCGATCTCCCAGGTCTTGGGATGTTGTTTACTCTGTTGAAAGTGAAGAGGGGGAGCGCGTTTTACAAAGCTTCATATCTCTTTCAAGCACTCCAAGGAAAACATCAAGGGTACGTGGGGGCATTGTGACAGTCGAGAAACCATTGAGCGAAATCGCACCAATGGCCGACTCTGTCAACCACCTCTCCGTCGCGGTCGGCGGCACATTCGATCACCTGCACATTGGTCACAAGCTACTTCTTACCATGTTCGCCTTCGTTCTTGGGAGAAGACAGGCGTCCGAGCAAACACCGAGCACACTTACCGTCGGCATCACTGGGGATGCACTACTCAAGAACAAGAAGTTCGCTGACCATCTGGAGAGCTGGAAGCGTCGACAGGAGTCGACTCACGAGTTCCTATCTTCCATCATCTACTTTGGCCCATTCGATGACGCACGTGTCCGTATGCAAGAGCTGAATGAACCTGGACCAAACGGCCACGCAGTTCATGTCATTTACCCATTTGGTCTTACTATTAAATACGTCGAGATATGGGACCCCTTCGGTCCAACTATAACTGACAAGGACATCACCGCTCTTGCGCTGTCGCTTGAAACCAGAGGCGGCGGTGCGGCTGTGAATGAGAAGCGTAGAGAGCAAGGTTGGGGTCCGCTGGAAGTTTTTGAAGTTGCTGTTCTCGATGCCAGCGAAGAGCAAAGCCTAGATGAGTCTTTTCAGAGCAAGTTGAGCAGCACGGAAATACGCCGAAAGCGCCATGAACGCATGATGCCGAAAGCGAAAGCCTGATGTATGCCTGCAAGGACAAGGCAAGGAGAGTTGCTGTCAACATTGCTGAAACGACAAGTCATCACACACATGCCGCGAAAGTCTTCAGCATGCGTCTTTGTACGACATTATACGACACCGTGCGTTCCGAAGCTCTACGACAGCGCAGATCTGCATGCTTTTGATGTGATAAGTATACGAGTATTAGCAGGGAACTGGGAATGAAAACCCGCAGGGCTGCAGTAGTATTGCGTAAGGATACGGCTGCAAATCGCTTAAATAGATTGTGCCGGTGCAACCTGAATCAGTGTTGCACATGATTTAGCACGACAGCAATGACGAGGCGACGTTGGACACGAGTATTCAGTAGTCGGACGGTGATACTGCCATAAATGACAGCGCAATGTTCTTGCGTCGTCGACAAAGGAGCATGCAATCTCGCAAGCCACAATGAGATACCACATGCCAATGAGAGACACCATATGACACGGGCTTCAGCCCTCTCTCAGGTGTCGTCACCACGCGCTATCGGGCATAACGCATCCCAAGATCACGGCGATGTTAGGAACCGGATGACGTTCAATAGCGGCCGATTGGCGTGCGGAAGCGCTCTCCCCAATGCGTTGCCAACGAAGCATGCATCCCAAGACCACCAAACTCTGATTCGAAGAGTGACAGTGGCATGTGGGGAGCTGCGAGTGTGCCTCGAATCAGATGGCCGCAGGCTGACCAACCCCTGCTGTCGCGCAACACCGAATCGACTGTTTTCGCTCGGGAGGAGCCATGTGCTCCCGCCTTTCTACGGGGTGTCCAACGCTTGCCCGCATACACTGAACAGTCATGTGACTCACTAAGCTTCTTGAAGGCTAAACCGCTTCTCCTCATTGGGCTGGACGGGTCTAGCTTGACAGGCTGCAGCACTTTAGACACGCTTGCTGGCGCAGTGCAGGATTTCGCGCCCACATGTCCTGCGCAACACTTCAGCGACATTGAGCTGACGGCTACAGAAAGGCCATGCTATTTTCTTCTCTCGCTTGCCCCTCTGGCTGCAGTGCTACCTTTGAGACATCGCAGAGCATCGCCGTCGGGCATTTCTGCACGGACACCTGAGTCGACTTCGCCGCTGCTATCGCCAGATATCCCGCCACATGTACTTCGTGCCGGGCCGTACCTTCTTCGCTGAGCGTCTTTTTAGTGCGCGGGTCGCTTCCTGACACCCGAGTCGTTCGAGAAATCCTGTCCTGAACCCCGCCATCTGCTTCTTTGGACGTTGTATGGTGTTTATCACATCGCGATGGGTATCCTCGACCTCGCCGACGAACTTCTCCGTATCATTCTTGAACATGTTGCCTCTGAGCCAGAAAAGCTCATTAGTCTCAAACGACGGGCCTATCTTTCGCAGGAAAGCTTCAAGCCACATCCTGCGCCCGAACCAGATCAAGCTTCCAACATCGCTCACTTCCGACTTACTTGCAAGAAGTGTACGTAAAGCACATGTACCGAACTGCGTGTGAGACTTACACTGACCTTTTACACCGATATCCAGTCGCTGAGCTTGGCGTACTCCATCAATGGTCGCGGGTCACAACGCGGTTCTCAAGAAGTGGTCTACGACGTTTGGAACTGATTGCACGACAGCCACATTTAGCTCAACGGGTGAAGAAATTCAGTTACATGGTCCCATTCTTCTATGTCGAAGGTCTTGATCTACATTCGTCTTTGTGCCCTTCTATAACTGACAAGACATACAGGACGAGAGAGAGTGCAAGACCTCCTTCCTACGCTCCAAGACAGCCTGGGTCCCCTCGATGTTAGACACTTCGTGCAGAAAGTTAACGAACAGAAGGACATTGTAAAGACCCGCGAGGATGCTCGCGTGTTGAACTTGGCTATATCATCGTTCACTGCACTTCAACATGTGCAAATACTGAGGGTTCAGGACCAGGCAGACGCGTCGCTCATCTCGTATATCCGGAATCATGCTGAACTCAATCATTTGGTAGAGCTAAAATGGCCACCAGGTACAGCAGCAGTCTCACTTTAAATTTCTCAAGAATGCGTGCTAATCTTATAAAGCCTGTCTTCACAGCACAAAGACTATCGGAGCAGCACTTTTTGAATCCAGGTCACCTTGCTCACGCTTCTCTTCGCCTATGCTCAGCCCGCAAAGTGTTCTAGGAGCGGCAAATAATCCGCCAACGACACTAAGTCTCCTAGCTGAAAGACTCACGTGTCTCGAGCTCCATTTCGACGACCCTACAGATCTTGATATCCGGATGCGAGAGTTAAGCACACTCTCGAAAGCTATATTCACAGCGGCGAAGAATATCGAGGCAGTACATATTGGATTCCCTTCTCACCGGCCCTTGACGCTACGGCTAGAAGAGATATTCCACAATGTGAAATGGGACAAACTGCAAGCTTTCGGAATCCAGGCTTGGAGGCTTGACGCGGATGAAATCATCGGCCTAGCCCGCCGACATCGAGAAACCTTGCGTGGCTTGCGGCTTCGCGACGTCCTCCTAAAAGATGGAAGCCGCTGGAAAGATGTCCTCACGTTTCTCCGTGAAAACATGACTAAGATGGACTGGGTGAGCCTCCGACGCATCGATTACGAGAAACATTTCGACGAGTCACGCGTCCTGGGCGCGGAGATCCCAGATGAATCTCTCGTTGGCAGTGATAGCAGCGATGAGGATGAAGACTGGGACATGCCCGATGATGACGATGACGCTTTCATGCATCAGATGGACAACTTCGCCGACGGAAGCAACGGTTCAATGCCCGACTCGGATCTGGAGTCGGACGCAGGAACAGACGAGCCAGAGCAAGGCGGGTACCTGGCCTTCCCACAAACGTACCCTGATACTCCTATGTCGGTACCTTGCTGTAATGGTCACGTGGACGATTTGGACGCCCTTGGCGATGACGGCATTTCCGTGTCTAACATTCAGCGGTAAGATTCAGTCACGCGCGTGGAGAACCTGCATTGACATGTGACAGCAAATATTGGGAAAAGTGGTGTGTGAACAAGACGTGCTCGCATGGGCACAAGTGAGCTGCCACGCGCAAGGTGCGCGTGCTTGTTAGCGGTGGCTGCAACGAACAGATCCCATGTGCCCAAGACAGAACCAACAGACGTTTCTGGCTGCACGCGCGGGCGCATGCTGCGTTCCTGGTATGCGGGTTATATTGTGTTCCCATCATTTCTGCCGCAAGGACATGTGCACGCAGCGACAGGGCGGTTAGCAAGGTCGGCGCAGAGATATCTCAAAACATCACCAAGAGCTGCAAGCAGGGACAAGGGGGCGTCGGAGATGCGTCCATCCCAATTGGAGTAATCAACAGAGCCAAGCGAAGAAAGCTATCAACCCTCAAAAAAACAAGTCCACGCTACATATCAGCCGTGCTCAGCATTGCCTCCAGTTCAAATCCTCCACATCGAATGCCTTCCACTTCGTGATAGCCAGCGCGCTTGTGCGATTGCGTGCCGCCCTTGAATCTCACGTCTCAGCATTCTATTTGGTGCACTTCTGCCACTGGACGTACACGACTTGGCTGAACTTGAGATCGGTCGAGTCGGTGGTGAGCAGACCGGTCGCCGACGAGTTGGTGCTGGTCAGGCGCACCTGCGAGTTGATGTTGAGCATGCCGGCGGCGCCGCAGGGCGACCAGATGATGGAGGTCGAGTCGGCCTCGTCGTGCTTGAGGTAGTCGCCGTTGACGGGGCCTACGAAGTTGTACTCGGTGGACGTCTGTGTTATCAAGTCAACATCTCGGCTCCGTTGAATCAGTGGGAGGGCTGAATACCTGAGCAGTCTGGCCAGAGAAGTAGTAGGTCGACTTGAGAGTGCCCGTGATGCCCTTCTGGATGGCGGCGTAACCGCGGTAGTCGGCGGACAAGATGGAGTACTGGAAGCCTCCGGGGTACTGAAGGTCAACGTTGAGCTGGCAGTTCTTGCGCTGCTCCGTGACAGAGATGCCAGGGCCGGTGGAAGCGATGTAAGAGTCAAAGATGAGGGTGACAATGGTGCGGTCCGAAGAGATCTGGGAGCTCATGGTGCCCTGGGGACATCCAGTTCCTCCATAGCTGACGCCCTTGATGGTGACCTGCAGTGTCTGAATCAGTATTTTGGTTCGGGCAAGTAGCAGAGCTACGTGTGACTGACCGAGCCGGCCGGAGGAGCTTCACCGAGCTCGACGGTGGGGAGGCCTGGGAGCGCCGCGGCAAGAGGAGCGAGAGCGAGGAGCCACTTCATATTGAATAGAGTTGGTGATCCGAGGATGCAGGCTGGAGATTCAAGGGAGGGTTGTAATGAAGACCGAGAGTAGAAGTTGGATGATGATCATTTGGAAGGAGACATGCACCAGGTTATATACCACTGCTTCGGCATCTCAGACTCTATACTTAGGACCTCACCCAAGTGTATGGCAAGACCTATCTGCGAGCATGTAACCACACCGCCGACTCAGAGACCTGCTGCCAAGTGCCAATAGCAATATCGAGTACGGCTGGACCGGCGGGCCGCTGGTGCTCATAGGTCCAGACGACAATGTTGCTCAGGTGAGTTCGTGTTTTCGGCACACTGTGCTGCAATGTTTGGCAGTGGCGCTGGAGCTAAACCTAGAGTTGAGTGCTACTATCTGGAGCATTCAGTAGCGTCCACTTCATCGTAGCAGAGCCAGACATCATGGCAAACAAGACCGATGGAGCGGCTCCCTGTCGAAGCATCCAGACGGGACGCGAAGTCAACCTAGGCTAGCTAGAGCGCTGTATTATCACTGCCAAGCTGGTATACTGTTGGACATCTAATCCTAGGGAGGTAACTGAGCAATAGCCGTTGTATACAGCTCGCATGCTTAGACCGAGCTCCAGCGAAAACGTGGGCTGGTACCCGAAGTCGCAAAGCGTACCGGCAGTCACCAGGCGGGTGATTTTGAATATGCCCGGTTAGCTGGTTCTTTTGAGACCCTTCGCTCGCTTGTGGGGAGGGTTCCGAAGTCCTCGTGGGCGAGCACGGCCTGTGTAGATTGAAGTTGAATTGGATGAAATCTATTACCCCATGGTACCGAGCCTAGAATAGTGACACAGGGCCTGGATGCTGGATATGAATTTGGTGAACCCTCAAGGGATAGCGAAAGCGGCTCCACTAGACGAGTGACATTCATCTATAACCCCGTATGTATGCATCGGCAGAATGTTGCGGAACCGGATGCTGAAAATAGAGCTTCACCGAAGAGAAAGCCTTTGGTAAGACCATTCCCCGAGGTTGTCCCTTGTCGTAGATCTCGAAGAGGTTCGCAAACATTGCGGCTAGATTAACCTTATATTAAAGCTTGTCACTCCATTGTGGCTCGAGACCCTGGGGTAATTTACGTTAGCGAAATCGAATGCCTGCAAGGGCAGGTAGAGCTTCTCGACAACGAGGACAAAAATAACCGGTCGTGCAGTAGTCACAACATCCTCAGTGTACCTGGTGATTGGTAAGGCGCCAGCCGTAGACATCCAGCGTGGGCAGTCCAGACTCGCACTCTGCCGGCTTGTGAAATTCTTAGTGCAGCCAAAGTCAACGATTTGAAGCAGAATAAATTGTCGGTTGATTGCACACTTCGTTTTACCAGGAGGGGATACGAAAGTCAGCGACCTTGGACTCGGCGGTAATCATCCCATGAACTGGAGCTTGTCTGCTTCCCGGGTATGTTTGCATGCCCCAACAACAAACAATTCGTGGCCTTGACCTAGAGCAGACGGCAACAAACACCTGGAAGCGAGCAAGGCGCCACCTGACGGGTTGACGTGGTGGACTTCACATGTCGGTCATGCTTGTACAGCATACGTGTCTTGCGCTGAACAATCCGGCAAATGCGGTCGTACGCATAAGGGACCTCCACGGTTTCACAAGATCGACAAGACTGTCAGCCCGCAGGAGAATAGGAACGGGAGTCCATGGAAGGCCGGACAGCTTCGAGCAGTCAAACGTGACGTGCGCGACTTCTAAGAGATACGGCGAGTAGTTGTCATTCTCAATGCCATGGGCGCGCGCGTTTCACGCCCATGCCGTCCTCAATTCTGAGCCCGCCTCAAGCAATACCCGGATAAAGGTACCTGGCCTGCCACGGACAAATTTGCGGCTCTGCAACGCTCGGCAATAGCGGAGGAGGTTCAAAACAACGGTAATGGCAAAGGAGAGGTCAGGCGAACAACGGGTGCAGTGAGGCAGCGAGCACGAAAGAAGGGTCTGCACATGATCAGGCGCGAAGCAATCCACACGCGTCGAGGCGGCGGAAATCGACCCCGCGCCGCGCCACACGGTGGCTCAAGCTAAACTCCGAGGTCCTGTCAGATTTGTCAGATGTCAATCATGGCGTCAGACACAATCCAGAAGGGCAATTCTTCACAAGCGCAAGGTAACCAGATCGCCTCTTTCCGTCCACCCAACTCCACCACACAATCCGACGCAGAGACAGTCTGCAGTATATGTTGTCGTCAAACTGAAGCTCCTCCACTACATTCTCCTCGTCGTCTTCTCCTACGCGTCCATGTCCTTTCTGACCAAGCTGTTCCGCCCCTTCAGCACAATGTCCAACGGCCCCGCCACACCCATGACCGCGCCCGCAGGCGCACACACCGCCACCGTCGCCGCGGGCTGTTTCTGGGGCGTCGAGCACATGTACCGCAAGCAGTTCGGCAAGGCGGGCTTGTACGATGCGCGCGTGGGATACATTGGCGGCGACAGTGAGAACCCAGGTTACCGCGCCGTATGCTCAGGGCGCACGGGGCGTAAGTACACCCACGGCATATTTCTTAGATGGAGGACTATAATTGACTTTTCAAACACAGACGCCGAAGCGCTCCAGGTGATTTACGACCCCGAGAAGGTGACGTACCGCACACTCCTCGAATTCTTCTACAAGATGCACGACCCGACGACTGCGAACCAACAAGGCCCGGACCGCGGCAGCCAGTACCGCAGCGCGATATTCTACCACAACGCCGACCAAGAGAAGGAGGCGCGCGAGATCACAAAGAAGGTCAACGAGCAGTGGTGGAAAGGCGGCGTGGTGACGGAAATCCTCCCCGCAGGACAGTGGTGGGACGCAGAGCAATACCATCAGCTATACCTCGACAACAACCCAGGCGGGTATGAGTGTCCGAGCCATTTCTTGAGGAGCTTCCCACCGCTGGCGGATTAGACTGCTACAATCCGGGTGTCAAGTACAATAGTAAAATGAAAGCGTCATTGCAAAATTCTGAATGGTTCAAGTTTCCTTTTGCATCATGTGTGATCTACTACACACGATGGAGCACTAGAACATCTACGAAGGCGGCATCGTCTCAAAGGTCTGCGCAACCTCCTTCTCCCATCCAAACCTCGCCTTGCCATAAATCTCAGCAGCAGGCTTCAAGCCCGCGCCAATGCCGCCGTCGTTCAGCAACACAGTGCGCAGCACAATCTTGTCGTCGCCGAGGGCTTCTTGCTGGTGGTAGACGTGCGTGGTGCAGTTCTTGCAGTAGTACTATCACCCCATCAATCAGCATCTTTGTCCAGACAAGTCGGCTCGGCTCGCAGAACTTACGCAATGAACGCCCTTGCCCGAATCACCCTTGTACGTGTACTTGCCGAGATCCTTGCCCTTCGTGATATTCAATGCCTTGGCGGGGATGATTTGGTTGAGCGTGTAAGGTGCGCCGGAGAGGAGCTTGCATGTATCGCAGTGACTAAGTGACACCATTAACATCCATCATCTCGCCCTATTCCAACCAGGAACAAACGCCATCAGGCATACATACCACAGAATATGTCCCTGCTGGTCCGACGCCAACTCCGCCGACCACTCGGTGTTTCCACAATGGCATTTTCCGCTGTACGTCGACATGATTGGATGTATATATTCACGTGAGTTACTAAATCAGGTAAAAAGGGTAAGGTGATGCAGACAACAAGGTCCTCAAGCAACACGGGAAAAGAGGTATTTATATAGCTCTGCTCACCCCCCATTCCTTTCCTGCGTGCTAATCTTTCCAGTCGAGCGCTTTCGGCTATGGACCACCCACCTCGCAAGCGTAAACTATCAGCGCGGAACCATCCAACCAACCAACCAATCCCCTCACGGTGGGTATTTGTCAGAAGCGGCGCAGATGAAATACATCATTTCGAGCCCTTCAGCTGCGGGAATGGCGATCCATGTCACGCTCAGAAGCACAGCTAGTTGGCTTCGGAATCATACATGGTCCATTTCCCTACTTCCAGCGTACTCTCACCTCCTAGTGCCTATTCAATTACCAAACCTTCTCCCACTGGCCGCGAGCCCCCAATCTGGTCGTTGTTGTGTTTTGAAAAGAGCTGGGGAGCTTGGGCCAGATTGCGAGGGGGGGAAATGGACATGACGTGGGCGGGGCAGGGCGGAGACTGCGCAGTATGACGCGAGTCTAATTCCAAATTATGCTCGCAGCTGGGTAAGCTGGATGGAGCTGCGAGTCTGGACCTGCCACGTCTGCGATAAGTGGATGGCATTCGAAGCCAGGTTCGGGTAGTTTGTGTGTTCGGTGCCGTGGGGTGCGATGTGCTGCTCCACTGTACATGTTACTGGTTGCCAAACATTGAGACTTTCAGAAGCCAGGTTTGAATAGAAGAATGCAATTAACAGACAACCAGAAAATCTCGTAAAGTTGTGTGTGAGCTCGAAGGGGTATCAAGTCATTTTGCATTTGTTCCATATTTATTCTAGGTTAATCATCTTGTCACTCCTCACATTTTGACGTAAATCTTCCGTCGCCATATCTAGTCCACCTCCAACAGCTGGTATTTTCCACCATGCTTGTCCAGAGCATCTTCGACACGCTCCATGACTGCGAGCACTTTTTCTTCTTCTAGTCTGCGCCCCACGATCTGTACAGCTACCGGTAAACCAGCCATCTTCACGGCATCGTAGTGTTTGTAGGCTCCCTGCGCTACGCCGTTGAGCTTCTTGAAGTTGAACGACGATGGCAATGCATCTTTGGTGGGGTCAACATGCGTTACGGGAATGATACCGGCGGAGTAATCGAGCTGCCACCTCATTAGTACTATTAAAATTACAAGATATCGTGAGACTTACTAAATTGAACAAAAAGGTATATCCGCAACTGCTGACTGCATCGTGCATCCCTCCATGCGGCACTGCTGGTGTCGCATTGGGCGGCGTAAGCATCACATCCATCTTCGCCTCCTCAGACCACCACTTGAAGAAGTTGTCTTTGTATGCCTCGCGCTTGCCAGCAAGTTGCCAGTACTCGTAAGCACTCTTGGGGTGCCAGTTGCGAATCAAGCCGGCCCAGATACTGTCGCCCTTGACGTAGCGCACGTACAAGTAGTGGACGTACTTGATGAACCGTGGAAGGCGCATGTAGCGCATCATTTGTGCAGCGCCTTTGTCATTCCATTCGCCCGTGCGGAAATGCGACATGAATGTGCTGCCACCGTCACTGAGGAGGAGGTGGGATGCTAGCTGAAGTGCTTCGTAGGGGGAGGGAGGCTCAACATCAAAAACTTCGTGGCCTTCTGCTATAAGCGCTTTCACGACTTCATCTAGGGCACGGGCACATGCTGGTGACGGATCGACGACATGATCGGTACGCATGACACCGAAACGGAGCTTCTTCTTCTCCTTGTACTCTTCCTCTATTTCCTCGCGCCATTCAAGTGGGTGGCATGTGTAGTCGTACTTCCAGGGTTTCATCTGGATGAAGCTTCGCGTGAAGTATGTCAAGTCGTTGAGTGTCCGCGCCATGGGGCTGAAGACACTTGGGATGGCTTCCTGGCCCGACATGCTCGTGTTCATGCCCATCTTCGGCCATCGCCCTGTGGAGCAACGTATAGAATAGCAGCCGGAGAAGTGTGCTGGTGCGCGTACCGAACCTGCGACGTCAGAACCTATGCCTATACGACTGCCTCCGAAAGCTAGCAGTGCTGACTCTCCACCCGTCGAGCCGCCGGGCGAGTATTTGTCGTTGTGTGGGTTTTTGCATTGGCCCCAGACGTCGTTGGTGGATTCGAAGGAGAGGAGGGTAGTAGGCAAGTTGGTCTTCACGAAGGGCACGGCACCGGCGTCCTTCAACAGCTTCACCATAGATCCGTCTTCAGCATATGGCTTGCCCACATTTCTTGAATATCCAACGGAAATGTCAAAGCCCTTGACCTGTATCGAGTCCTTCAGAGAGACTGGTATGCCGGCCAGCGGGCCTTTCAGGTTGACCTCCTTGTCAGCCCATTCTTCAGCTTCGGGGAAGAGAATCTCTGTGACGCAATTCGTCTTCTCCTGCGCCTTTATTGCGACCTTCCCATATGCACGCAGGATATCGACAGGTCTCGTGACCTGCTTCTGCACATCTTGGACGAGCTCTTGAATGGGCTTGCCAAGTATGGTGCGTTCTTGTGGTGAAAGCGGGTATTGGTAGGTTGGGGGGAGGGACGCGATCTTTGAAGCTCGCTCCGACTGCTTACGCTGGCTGCATCAGTTAGCTCTCCAGCTTAAGGGATACTGAACTTGTAGTTGCGTACCAGTCTTGCTTGTGTTGTCTGTACTCCAAGATACCCATGATGTCTATCGAGGATGAAAGGAGTGTGGTGGAGAGAAGCCTAAAGACGCGAGGAATGACCTCGGAAGGTTTTTGGCTTCACTTATCGGCAACATGTCTTTGTGAGCTGCCTGCGCATATCGGCGGCGCGATGATATGCGGTAGCTCGGCTGCGGGCAACCACGAGAGCTCCCCACCTTCTAGATAGCTCCAATACGGAAGGTCCACGCGAGATATCGCGATATCGACATGGAAGGGCGGACATCTCACGCCCTGCAACATGGTCGTACTGTGCTATCTCACCATAATAACTCGGCCCGCTGTCGCTGAAGACAGGAACATTTGAACCGAGGGTGTCTAAAGGTCACGTGACTAAACCGAAAATCCCTATCTTCCAACATGCCCATGAAGACCCAGCCCGGTCATCTACGCTGACTGCATTGCATAAATACAGCTCGTCTCTTACTTTCACAACTCTTCGACACAATCAATGCACCAATGGTGAAGCATCCAATGGCGCTGCACGTTTGCTAGCTAGTCGTGTAAGCATTGGTGATTGCTTCCCAGCTGTCCTGTGATCTGCACTTTGTTACTTCAGCAACGCCGACAACGCGTCCTCAAACGACCGCTTCCAATGTTGTCCCACGTTTGCGCGTCTCTGATTGAGCCTCAACACTTCTGACCATAGCTCCCGCGCGCCATGTTGGTCGGGCGGGAGTGTGGGACCGGGGAAGGAGACTGACAGCCGCAACAACACCTCTCAACCACTCGATTCGCGATGCAAACAATGGATCAGGATCGCCCAGGCACCACTTGTGCCTCTCGTACCTGAGTGGCTTCCCCAGAACTGATGTTCATGGTAACAGGATTTTGTTCTGCTGTAGCCGCTGACACGCGTCGGTGCGCAGCTCGGACATTTTCTGGAGCATCGCCGTCTGCCCTCTCTCATTGGCTTCTCCAGCGACAACTCTAGATGACATGAAACTGACGAGGTCCAGACAACCGATGGGTAAGAATAGCAACCAATGGGTCTAAACTCTTTTGGATCAGTACATTGAACGTGCTTGAACATGTCCAGATGTATAAGATGTACTGGTAACAGCAGCAAGAGAATCATCAAACACATCACCATCCAACTCACAACCACTCAGTTTCTTTCGTCTCTTTTCCTGTTTCCTTGTTTCCTTGTTTCCTATCTGGGTCTCATTCATTCTTCACTTGTCAAGTACAACACATTCTCTTCATCTGCCGGCAGATCGCATACGTTCCTTGCGATTTAAAAGTACTTCGTTCGCTCAGTCTCTACACGGTCCTTTACGAGCCTCCTTTATACCGCCTACCCAGGGAAACCCACATTCACTCAACAAACATGCCTGTCCCAAGCTACGGAGCCATGCCTTTGAGCAAGATGTTCTTGGCTGTTCGCGTCCTCCAGGCAATCTGCATGATCATTGTGATCGGAATCACATCCAACTTCGTGCAGATGATTGTGACCACTGGTGTTGAGCCTCCAAAAGAGTTTGTCGGCACACTCAGTGTAGTGAGTAGTCCCAGCCATTGCATCATGACAACACTGACAGCCCTCAGACATGCATCGCCACGCTCTACATCATGGTCAGCGTCGGTTACTACTGGTCCTACGCAAACCTTGGTCTTCTTGTCATGACCGGTGTCGACTCCCTCCTCCTCATCGCCTTCATCGTCTGTGCAGTCACGCTTGGAAAGCCAATGTCTTTCCTGAACTGTTACGTTATTGGCAAATCATCCAAGGATGTCGACGCCGCCTACGCCTTTGCCTTCGTCACTGCCACAACCCAGAATCTCAACGAGTCTGGCGCTGGCCTTGATCTCCGCCACTGGGCTGGTGTGACTCGCAGCAACTGCTTCCAGGCCAAGGCCGTCTGGGGTATGGCTATCGCTCTCTGGTATGTCTCATCGTCATCACAATCGTGGTTCTGCCACTAACTGTTTCCAGCATCCTATTCACCGTCTCATGCGCTCTTTTGCCCACTCTCTGGTACAAGAACAAGAAGCCCGCCCCTAAGACTGTCGAGGAGGCCTAGTGGACTTTGCAACGAAATACAACCGAGTCCAAGGAATGTCACGTTCAACACGATCTCTGCCAGCCTTTGAACACTCTTCATCTTTTCCATAAAAGTCATACAAAAAACTGCATCGCACGGGAGTTTGGAGTCTCTTTTTTGTTCTTTTCCGTCTTCTGTTCTTGTTAGACATTGAATGTCTCTAATCCTAATGGATATTTACGGGACTTGGTTCCCTCGCAATACAAACATCTTTGCACACATTCTCCCACTTCATACATTGTTCCATATTGATTCAGATTTCACATGGACATTGTGGCTCTTGTACGGCCAGTATCGCCTCGGTCACGGTCACCTTGTAAGTGACTGAGGCATGTCACAATGGAGGCACATTCACAATTCTCAGCTTCACCATGGGCACTTCACTATTTTGGCGGATATATCCTCGACACCCGAGTCCGCCCTACTCTCCTCTTTAAAAACCGTAAACAATTCAACACCATCACTACAGCGCCCACTCATTAGCACCATTACACAACTGCTCCTGGACAGCCGAACACATCAACTCACAATCTTGCGCGCATCATGTGCAAACACAACACTTCAAGGCAAGCCTGCGAAAAGTGCATAAGGATCACAGCGAAGGAGGAAAGGTCGCAAAAGAGGCAAGAGATAATACGAAAACAAGTTTCTGAGCAAAAAGCTGCTTTCCGAGGAAAAGACGCAGAAGAGGAGGGATGACGCAGCTGAGAAGTTCTTGAACGGCTTTTACACGATGACGGCTGGCCCATCTGCAATGAAGAACCAAAACCACTTGCCGGACTTCAGCACGGTGGCGTTGCCCAGTGTAAAAACGCCGGCGAGGACAGTGGCGCCAGTTGGGGCTCCACAAGTGAGTTCTCAAGCATTTCGTTTTACACACAGGGACAAGCAGAGGAACGGGAACGTGACGTACGTGCAGGGTATGAATGGCCGCCGCTTGAAGGTGGTGAATGGGGAGTTAGGGCCGTTTCAGAAGCTGGAGATGCAGGCCGTGCAGCAAGCAGCGAAAGAGGTGGAGAGAAAGATCCAGCGGGAGAAAGAGGAACAGGATAGAATGGAACGGCGAAATCAGTGATAGGACGGGAGGGGGAGCTACGCTCAACGCGGGGCCTCAGGCTGGATGTAACGATAACGCGGAAGATCATCAAGAGTCATGTCTCAATTCACTTACAAGTCTCGAATGGGATGCGATCGTTGAGCGAGCGCAGGTTGTCTCTGCATGGTTACGTGTCGTCACTCAAACTATACGAATGTCACCTGCCATATAAGCTATGCACAGCTTTGGTAGTTATATTATATGTCTACTTCAACATAGTCAGATTTACTAACTGTGAAGTTAGACACCGTCATTGCTCTGGAACAGTCTTGGGCTATCGATTTTGAAGAGAGATGAGGTTGACAGTAAAGATGCGCCAAAGAGCTACCACAAAGTCATCAACGAAGCTTTCAACGCCGAGACAGATGGACATCAAATCCCACCTACAACGTCGCCTTCCAGACAACCACAGTATGCTACGTTGGTACTACCTCGCGTATTGAGGATATTTGCGACCAATCCAAGTGCGGCATTCCGAGATCTTCGTTTCCGTGATGCCCGCTCTTCGACTTCAACTTCGCCAGCGATGACATCATTTTACGAGCTCCGGGTGCTACCGCATCAGTCCGCCACACATGCCCACACACATGTTCGTTTTTTTCGTCCTTGTCCTCGGACGCTTCCTAAAATAGCAGCCTTTTGCGGAGTCAACATGGATGGCTGGTGGTATCCGATTGGGCTCTGCGGGAGATCGGCGCAAGGCTTGCCGTCACACCCTCGTGTTGACCATGTAGCGATGTTACTGTTGCTCGGGGGGGTGGGCAGTGATGTAGAGCCGAGATGAGCACGAATCGGACCGGGATGGGATAGGAGTATATATATTTGTGGATATGCGCGAAGTACATAAGATTGCATCGAGCAACACAAACATCCACACAACCCAACCACCACCAAATCTTCAAGTAACCCAGAAACCACCCAAGCCATCAATACACAAAATGCGCTTCTCAACCATCGCATCCACTCTGGCTACCGCTTCCATTGCCTCCGCCCGCATCGTTGGCGTAGCTACCCCCTCGACACTCGCCCCCAACGCCACATTCCCCATCACTCTCATCAACGAAAACTACATCCAAGCGGTATCCGAAATCGCCGCAGCCTGGGGTTTCGAAACACCGGCCCGAGCCTTCCCCTACACACTCGGCCAAAGCGGCACCGCTAGCTCTTACCTGGGCCCCACGTTCAGCACCTCGCTGGAGAATGTGACGCTCGTAGGGACGGTACCCGGACATCTCGAGAATGGTAGCGACTATGTGTTTAGCGTTGCTGTGATGAGCTTGTATGGTGCGAGTCACGGGCCCATCACTGAGAGCTGGAACGTCACGGTGAAGATTGGGCAGGATCAGGATGATGAGGATATTGTGGCGAGCAGGCAGTTGGGGTGGAAGCAGACCACAGCTTAGGTGTGGATGTTGACGCACATCGGCTAAGCAGATGGGGAAGATTTTTGTGTCAGTTATTTGGCGCCTGTAGTAATCGTAGTTTTGTAAATATCATATCAAGCATTTCCAAGTACCTGATATCTCTTCTGGCAAATGCGCGATTGTGGCGAATTGAATGATAGTCGTGAGCTTCGAGGATGCTATTGATATATTCTTATTTGACAATGGCTATTCAAAGTTCCAATCGCTCCTTCTGGCTATTCCACTCTGCAATCCAGTCTACAACAAAGTTCTTCAGGAATTGTTGTGCATAGACGACCTGTGCAGGTGGTAGCAGCGATGTGGTCTCATTAGGAAAGATGCCGTTTTCCTCCCAGTGATGGACGCCATGGCTGATCAGATGCCATGGGTGATCGGTGCTGCTGTTCCTCGACTCTGGGTACCACAATGGTGTCGCAGGTCTCCAGGGATCCGCGTTACCTCCGATATGTGCCAGACGCTCGTAGTCAATGCTGTAGTTGCCGTACTTGTTGACCTGCCAGACGTCAGGCGGCTCGGTGATGTTGAACTGAGCGCGACAGAAGAAGGTCAAGTAGTCGACGTCGAGCGTGCGAGAGATCAACGGCATGATATCTTTTGGCGTGTTTCCAGTTTGAATGTAACCCCATTCAGTACAGACTTGGTAGGACCACGAGACTGCACCGTATTGGCTCAGGTCAGTCTGGCCCTGCAAGGCAGTGGCGTTGACCGAAGTGAAGTATTGATCCTGAGTACGGTTGGTACGGCGGTAACTGCGTAGGGCAGTGCTGTTGATCCAGCTGATAGCATTCAAGGTGACATTTTGTGCAAGAGTGTCGCTACCATAGCCTGCTGCGTTAACAATGTCGGCAACAGCTGGGCGGAGGTTTTCGGCTGTTGGTGTAGCGGTAATGTTTGTACAGTAGTTGAAGAACGAGTCGGAATTTTCTTCCGGATCCCAGTTCGTACTCTGTAGACCATAGACACCAGTAATCTGCCCAGCAAAGTCTCGATTATCAGTAATACCGCCTAGTCCAAAAACGTTCTTCAGTGGTTGGACTTGTGCGGTGTTGTTGTCGTTCAATAGAATATTGTCAATGACATCGATGAGAATCTGAGTGTTTTTGATGCAATCCGGAGGGCCAAAAAGCCTTGCTGGCTCAAAGTACTGCCAGTAGTCGTAGATGGCAACGGTAACACCGGAGGACGAGATTGCGCCCCAAAACGTTTCTGGGTACTTGACGCGCATGAAGGCAGCTTGCGCTCCAGCGTAGGAGCCACCGTAAACGACCCACGGGGTGTTTGGCGCAGTAAGATCAGCATCGATGCCCTCGAATTTGACGTTGCGTGCAAAGTAGTCAATTTCTGCCAACGCTTGGTCTGTTGACAAGAAGCGCATGTTCTTGGTCGTAAGATCATCCACAGGGAAACTCTTTCCATAATATCGATGCTCCAGAATCACACCCAACCCGCCCGTCGCCTCAATGACTTGGTGTACGATGCCTTTCTGCAGAAAAGGCAAACGGCCGGCGCCATCGGTTTCGCCGCCGAGCAGAACAAAAGACAGGACCTCCTGGCTTGTAGTAGGTCTTGTCAAAACCAGTATCTTAAGTTGAACGTGCCATTGCTGTGAGGCTCATAGCGGGTCTCATTGTGGAAGAAGTCGACGGGGACTGAGATGTTGCGTTCCGGATAAAGTAACGACAAGTCAAAGTCCTCATCACGCTTCATGAGAGAACGCTTCTCAGTGGCAGCAATCTATAACGCATCAGCTTTTGATATTATGACCATATTTACGTGGACCCTGATTTACACGATCTCGAAGCGCGCATGTCATTGACACGCCCACAGACGACGTTGCATAGAGGTCTCAATAGCCATCATCTGAACAGCAAAGTTGTGAAAAGTACATACCGCTCGCTCAATCTCCGGTCCTGTCCGTGGTACTGTCCTGAGCGCAGCCGCCTCCAGACCAAGCAATAGCGTCGTGATTGCAGCCGAGAAACGCATGTTGATGGCGATCTGACGTGACGATTGCTTGTAGGTCAATCGCAACGGGCACTGCGCGAATAAATACTTCCTCGCATGCGCACTAAGGTATGACGACTGTCATGTGAATCCTGGTAGCCCACCTATTATCCTATCTCCATGTTTGTGGAAGGTGGTTAATCTAGCTTGCGTGCTATAGGAGTACCTACGCTCGATCCAGAAGGCGGTAGGGTCGATCTACAGCCGAAGACCATCGTGCGGGTGGCGGCCTTGAACTTTGGAAGCTTCCGGGTGCACAACTTGCGCTGTGACCCGAGCAACGCTGTCTCAATTTCGGTACCTGCCTGACATGAGCGACATTGATCATGTTCCACAACGTGGCTGGACATGACAGACTAAACAGTTGTGGTTGCCGTTCCGGCTGTTCAACTCCGGATGAACATCTTGTGCCACCTTGGAAGTGGGTGCGACCACTCTGCAGCTGCTTCATTCTTGGTCGCTTGTACTTATCGAACACTGGCCTTCTTCTACTCCACAACAGTACATAACAGGCCCTGTTTACTTTCCTCTCAACAATAAAGTTGGTAATCACGTTATGGGCCGGGCCGCGCTAAAATGATTCGCAAGTGGCTTCACTTCGGCAGAACTGGAACTGAACTCGTGGAAATAAACACCTCTCTTCTTCAATTCGACTTTAGGATGCGGCAATAGCTTTAGTTTCGGGGCTACATAATTTGGAACCTGCCTGTAATTCGACATACTTCGATGCGATCTCACGACTTCTCGGGCAGCTTAAAGCCTGCTGGAACCAACTTTTGCCATTGGGAGCCGATCTGTTTCAGCCCGGACTTCAATACAAACTGCCCGTGAAAGCCCGACCGTTAAGACTTGCCTATCATTTAGCGGCCAAAGGCTTTATGGAGGACCACAAGTCCCCCGGTCTGGCCATGAGCGTTTGCGAGATCGATTGACAGCATCAGGTGATCAAAAACTCTGAGCATCATCTTACTCGACAGATGCATACATGGAGATAGCGATTCAGCGAAAATAACGAGTACTGTTCGTCATGGACAACGACGTAAAGCTTTGACGGGATTCGGTCGAGAGCCTTGAATCGCAGACAGCTGTCGAAGAGCCGGTCGCAAGCAATATTCCACCCTCCACTATTCGCACAGTGGAGTCAATTTTCTTGATTACATATGAAACCTCTGGATGAGTGTGGAATAGCCTGCTGGCGAAGAAACCGGGACCAAGAGGCCGCGTTTCGACGGGGAGAATACCCCGCTGAATATATCACACGAGTCCACCCTGAATGGAACACATGGTGATTTGGAGGGAAAAGGAATGAACTTGTTCATCATATCAACATACGACTCTGGGCCATCTGAACAGTAACCCAGACATGGATCGATGCTTGACTGGGCCCTAAAGGCGTTCATGCCCGGGGCCCCTGTCTTCAAACGGGCTTCAGTTGCTCATGGTGTTCGCGCCGACCCTCAAAGCGTGGGGTCCTTAGCGCGCGCTTGTCCTTTGGTGAAATATGCGGCCGCTCGAAAGACGACGCGCTGTGAAGATATACAGTTCAAAGATACGATTGTCGCTGCAGTCATCAAGCAGCCCCGTAGCCTATCATACGAGGACACTCGAATGTCTCAAAGGAGCAGCTTGGCAAGGCGTACTGAGCCCGAAACCTTGCATGTACCGTCCCCAGGTTCAATTTGAGGGCAAAAATCACGCCTCGTCGTCGGCTGCTTTGAAAGCAACAGTCGGCGAGACAGGTTACTCTTTTACCGAAATTTCCACTACAGCTTAGATCTTAACCAAATAAGCAAAATCCTAGTGGGGTCGCGAAGCGGACCTCGATTGCTGGTGGGAAGAGGCATCTCGCATAATTTGAGTACGCCTTGAATCCGCCAACACTCAATCAGATGCCGTTCATAATAATGGATCATCCGCCCGGATCTCGAGTTCAAATGTCGACTTAACTTATCCTGACCGTCCTGTGTGGACTGCGCCGCATTCGATAAGGAAGACATCTAATCCGAGACCAACACAGTTGTCCGTGGCAGTTTATCGCGTTGCAGATAACACCCAATGAGTGCTGAAGCGACCGGCATTCATCCCGTTTACGTCCAGTCCGGGCGTATGTGCAGCCTCAAATGCGCGAGAGGCGCGGGTTACAGTGGGGGCCGTACATAAGCGGTTCCATTCCATCGGTAACCCGAGGCCTTCATATTGACAACCTCAGGAGAGTTTTCGAAGGCAACCCCTGTTGTTTGATGCAGCGGGAAGCCTAACGTGTCTAGAAGACGATCCGTTGGCGGCATCACCGAAGGCGTGCCGTTGGCACAGTTCTCATACATGATGCCGGCAAATTCGTTTGGTGTAATCTCACGGCACAGTCACTATCCTTGATGTCTGGCAATCCACTGAATTTCCCTTCGTCATAGAACCATCTTTTTCGTTTGCCGTTATTTCTGGCCAAGACCAAGTCAGCACCTACTGCATTCACTCCGGCGCAAGCTGCGCGCACCACTTACGAACAATCATACTTGAATGCTCAACTCACGCTGATATCGACTTCTCAACCAGGGTAATCGGATCACAACACATTCTTCTCCATTCTTGCAATGTCATCACAATCAGAAATGTCGAAAGAGAAAAGCGTTGAATCAGTCAAGCTTGAAGAGGGTGTTTTAAGTACACCTCCACACAGCCGAGATGAGCTCGCTACCCCAGACAGCGAGTCGCGATACATCACAGGGCTGAAGTTGTACCTCATCAACGCTGGACTCATCGTATCTATGTTTCTTGTCCAAATGGACTCATCCATGTTAGTCTTAGTCCACTACTACTCCCGCACGATGAAGCTCACGTCTCCACAGAATCAGCACAGCAGTAGTCAATATCAGCGATGATCTTGGTGGATACGAAAAGAGTTCATGGCTATTCACAGGATACCTCATTACCTATTGCAGTGCGTAGCTCTGATTCTCGATCCGGTCCAGACTAACAGCTCCTCTTTGTAGGCACTTCCATGATCTTAGCGAAGATCTCCGATATCTATGGACGCAAACTGGTTCTCATAGTATGCCTAGGCATTTTCACGATCTTCTCAGCTTTATGCGGAGCCGCGCAGACGATGATCCAGCTCATCATGTTCCGATGGTGTCAGGGTGTTGGCGGTGGCGGAGTCTTTGCTCTGGTACAGCTCATGTTCCTGGAGCTTGTGCCAAGGAGGAAGCTTCCTGCATACATGAGTATGGTCACCTCAGCACTCGCTCTATCTCTAGTCATTGGGCCGCTGCTTGGAGGTGGTATCACTCAGCACGGAAGTTGGAGATGGATTTTCATCGTCAAGTAGGTCTTGGTTTGGATTCATGATTAGGAATGTCGCTGACATCCAGCAATAGTGTCCCCGTCGGAGTCCTCGCAGGATTAGCACTCTTCTTCACCCTACCTAAGACCGCATGGAACGAGCCAGCAGCGGATCCGATTCAGGATCGATCTTTGTCTGCATCTCTTAGTCGTTTGGACTTTTTAGGGGCGTTTCTCATGCTCGGGGCGATCGTACTGCTCACAACTGGTCTTCAGCAGACAGCGCAAGGCTATGCCTGGGAGTCTCCCATGGTGTTGGGACTTGTCATCAGCTTTATTCCGATGGCAATTGCTTTCTTCATGTGGCAGTGGTGGGTAACAACGCGTCGAACTAGCCCTGAGCCGGTATTCCCATGGCGACTCATTCAAGACCGTCGACGCCTCGGCATGATTGTGTAAGTTTCGATCATGTTCCAAAGTAACGAAAAGCTGACAACCCCAGAAACACTTTTCTTGCTGGAACGGTCCAATTCGTCTGCATCGCTCAGATTCCGCAACGCTTTGTCACCGTCAACGATGTATCACCACTTTCGGCGGCTTTGAGACTCTTGGCATTTGGAGCTATGATTCCCGTCGGGATCTGCCCTAGGCTGGAGCACTGATGGGAAAAACCGAGAATACCGCCGTGTGGAGTGGTACTGGGCAGAGCGCCGTTCTTGAGATCATTGGTGTCGTGCTCTTATCACGAATTAGTACCTCACCCCAGATTGATAGTACTCAGTACGGCTTTCAGGTGCTGGCTGGACTTGGAACAGGCATGGTTAATGCTGCCCCTTATCATACTTGTGCCATACATCATGGAGACAAAAGATCTTTGTAAGCGGCTTTCTTTACACAGCATCCACATACTAACAACCACCTAGCTGTTGGCTCCGCTGCCTGCACTCAATTCCGTATCTTGGGCGGACTGGTTGGCCTCGCGATCGTCGTTTCCATCTCGACGCCTTACATTCGCCAGCACTTGACCGATATAGTCTCGCCTGAAATCGCAATGATGCTTCTAGAGAAGACCGAGACAATCAAGGAATTGCCTTTGGACACAGCCGACAAAGTGCGGACGCTATTTGGTAAAGGTTACAATCTTCAAATCACGATTTTGATCGGGTTTGCTGCCGCAAAGATTCCTGTTACCGCTTTGATGTGGACGAACCAAAAGTCAGATGTTTGATTACTGTGGCATATTCCCTTCCGTAAATTCTAGCTAGACAGTCCAACTTTATCAAAATAGAGCACATTCATTACCTTGTTACGCCCCGCATTTCCATCTCGCCAGCGTCGGCATGTGTTGTATGTTTCTGTGTAATCTTTGCTAGAAGCACGATCACCTTGTAAATGCAGTGCTGACTTGCATATTGATCTGTGTCCCATTGGCCGACTGCAGTTGGCGGAATCTCGCAACTATGATGGTTTTAAGCCCTCTATGCCCATGCTGTCCTAATATCACATCCATATCTCAGCGAGTACTACTTGCAACATCCAGCGCCCTATTCCTCACAGCACCATGCCCAAATACATGCAGGTGGCTACATGGCGACCTCAGACCTTGCCAACTCCATTGCCCATAAATTTACCTTACATCGAAGCGTCACAACTCGAGCGGGCGAGGTACGTCATGGAGTCCATGATTTACTAGATCGATGTCCGGTCCTCGACGGGCGTAAAGGGCATCATATGGCGATGAAAGTAGACAACCACTCTGATCTTGGTTGTGTAGCCTAGGGTTACATTTGGTGAGGTTTCTAGCATAAGTAAAGATGGGAAATTGCCTCAAGCTATGCCTTGTGTACCGATCCTCATGTCCCGCTGTAAATCACTGTCTTAATTCATCTCACGTGCTTTCGGACCGTCATGTATATTAGCGGCGGAACATTCTGCCAGTCGTCTCTTGGATCAAGAAGTAGAGCCGAATATCTTACCCGAAAGTAGCTAGCTGATTTCCAAGCCGCAAGTGGTGATTCACGCATCATCGCCGCATTTGCGAACCAGTCAACGACTTTCCAAGGCGGAAAAATGAACTCAATTCCAGCTCCACCACGGACATACCGCAAGCACTTCATCCCTCTCGAGTCTAACCCCGAACTCTTTACCGAGCTGATACACAAATTGGGCTTATCCAAGTCGCTCGAGTTCCAAGATGTGCTGTCATTAGACGACCCTGACTTACTCGCATTTCTACCAAGACCTGCGTACGCGCTGATATTGGTTTTCCCGACGACGGAACTGTATGAGAAGAGAGTGCGCGATGAAGACAGTATATTGCAGATGATTGATGGCGACCTACCTGACGGCGATGTTCTTTTCTTCAAACAAACAATCAACAACGCATGTGGCTTGTACGCAATCTTGCATGCAGTTTGCAATGGAGAAGTGAGGGACAGAATGGGCATGCGAATCCCGAGCAATATTTATGGACCTTGGCTGACATGCATCAAGCCCCCGACTCCATCATAGCCACGATCAAGCGAATTGCTGAAACGCTCAATACCGAGGAATGCGCTTTGGCTCTTGAGGCTGATTCGGCACTCGAGAAGGCGTACGCGCAAGTGGCTCGAATTGGCGATACTGAAGCGCCAGCTAATGCGCAGGACGAAGTAGAGTACCATTACATCTGCTTCGTCAAGTCGCACGAGAACGGCCATGTGTACCAACTTGACGGAGACCGCCAGCAGCCAGTCGATCTTGGAGCGATGGCTGTGGACGAAGACGTCTTGTCAGATAAGTGTCTGGATGTCATCCGCAGCATGATCGCGAGCGAAGAGGGGAATATGAATTTCAGCCTAATGGCGCTTGTGCCAGCAGCCTCGTAACGGGAGGGTGCGAATCATATGAGACCCACGCGTGTGCCTCAAGCAAGACGACGCATCAGTCAAAGTATGTAGGTAGCCAAGGAGTCACACTCTTCGTGGAAGAAAGTCTCCGAAGAGCGAGGAAGTGTGAACTATGAAGGACCTTTTTATTTGCTCTGGCAACAGTATACCTAGGGTATAGCACGAACGATTGTACAGTCGGCATACACCGCAGCGACGCAAGACGCGAAACTACGGGATGTTCCCCGAAAGGACTTGTGATGTGTGTCTGAGACTCAAGTGGCTGGCGTGCAGGTTGCGGTGTCTACAGGAATAGAACACGACAGTCTCATGACCATGGGTAAAGGCCTGCTCATGTAGAAGCTGGCACTTTCCCATATCGTGATGGTGATGTTCAGGTGTCGAGGAGGGTCCTCGCTGCGGAGTTTTCTAACAGGTGCCAAGCCTAGTAACGTTAGCGCTAAACCCCCGACATAGCTGGAGCTTCGACCAACGACTGCTGAGCGCAACCTCACGCTCACCACTTGCCTACCGCAAAGATGACGAAAAAGCGCAAGAGATACCCCGATTTGGACGCCAAGCTCGAGCGCCCGTGGTGTTATTACTGCGAGCGTGACTTCGATGACTTGAAGATTCTCATCTCTCACCAGAAAGCCAAACACTTCAAATGCGACCGCTGTGGAAGGCGGTTAAACACCGCAGGAGGTACATATGCCCGCGACGATGGCGCCCATTCGCGCTCTATACGGCTTCAATTATATGTGGCATGTCACTAATGCACATGCAGGTCTCTCCGTGCACATGAACCAAGTCCACAAGGAAAACCTCACACACGTCGAGAATGCCAACCCCGGCCGTCAAGGCCTCGAGATTGAAATCTTCGGCATGGAAGGCGTGCCTGCGGAGATCATCGATCAGCACAACCAGGAAGTCACCCAGGCGCATTTCTCCGCAGAAGCCGAGCGCGCTCGTCTTACTGGAAATCCGGTTCGTGGCGCCTACGCAAACGGCGATGTGGTGCCGAACAAGCGGCCAAAGGTCACCGAGACGCTCGAGGAGATCGAGGCGCGCGCAGCAAAGTACAGGGAGGATAGGAAGAATGGCGTACTACCTGTGCCGACGGTGAAGGAGATTGTCAATCAGCCGGTACGTCGAGTGCACGACATTTGGACTCGAGGCTACGACGCTAATACAGATGCGCAGACACCGCCGCAAATCCAGCCTCCCTACGGCGCTCCAGCTTACCCGCCGCAACAACCCTACATACCCAACGGTGGCGCGATCCCGCCTCGACCGGCTGTCGACGCGATACAGAGCTCCATTGACGATCTGATCGCGGGCGTGCAGAAGGAGGTGCCGGCAGACAAGAAGGAGGATAAGAAGAGCAAAAAGGACAAGAACATGCGGCTTATATACAACGACGACAATTATAGTCCGGAGGAGAAGATGGCGCTTCTGCCCAAGTTTGCCGAGTTTGTCAGGGTGTAGTTGGGCGATGGGTAATGGACACAGATATCTAACGGCTGGACATGCGCTTTTCAGAGGCAGTCCGATCCGCCCCATACAAATGGCTGCTTCGGCAGACGCAGCGGAAGCGTCTCAGTACGCGTCAAGGATGCATACAGTCACTCTTCAAGGCAAAGTACTTCAGCGCTGTCACGGCAGTCACAAAGCGAGAGAAGTTTCATCAAACAAAGGGTATCCAATTCTAGCGCGAGAAACCGCCAGATGCGCAATGAGTAGACTCCGCGAGAAATAGCTGTAAAGAGTCTTGAAATATACTACAATGAACCTGCCACTCCCATCCCATTCACCCCCCCTTTTTCTCTTAATATTGATCGTAACCAAGTCCCGCCAGTTCCTCGCCTTCTTCTTCCTCGTCCTCGTCATACTCCTCGCTCTGCGTGTCTTCGGGCTCGCTGCTGTCGCTGCGGTCTTCGCTTGCGCGCGCCCACTCGGAACTCTCTGTGAACGCCAGACTCTCGCCGAGATCCAGACCACGCGTCTTTTCGAGGCCATCGTCGTCTTGCTCGGGGAGTAAAGCAGGGGAGGAATCAGGCATGGGATCGACTTGTCTCAGCGCGGCCTTTTCCTCTTCAGTGCTGCTGTACTCTGCGGTCGCGAACCCGACGACCTTGGAATTTGCAGTCGAGTCCCGCGTTTCTGGCCTCTCGGGCCGCTTTTCTTCAATGATGTCGCCGGTCCATGGGCGGCATTCCTTGACAGTTTCGCCGCAGCGCAGACAGGTCCAGCCTTCGCCTTCTTCGTTGGCGATACGCTGGGCGATGCATGCGAAACAGTAGATGCACCCACAACCCTCGGCTTCGTATGGGTTCGTTATGTCTGTCGCAGCGGAGCCAACGACGACGCCGCCTCCAAGCCGAGCTGGCGATGATGTCGGCTTCGGACTGTGTGATAGAGATTCTGGTCGCGATAGCAGATTGCGCAGGTGCGTTCGAGAAAGGAAGCCCAGTTCGCCTTGTTTCGATTCGCTTTCCTCGTCATCAGGAGAGGTGGGTTTTGAGCGGCCGATGAGTGCGAGGAATGAGAGTCGCAGCTTGCGCCAGGAGCGGCCGAGGATGCGACGCCAGCGCGATATGCCGACAAGTGGGAGGAGGAAGAGGAGGAACTCGGTAAAGGCGTGCCAGACGAGTTGGCGGTTTAGGTATTCGAAGGAGACTTCGCGGGATGTGGAATGTGATGTTGGCGTCAGACGTAGCCGTAGCAGGCGGTCTGTTATCGTCCTATACCGTCCGTTGACCAAGAAGACGAGGAAGGAGGCGAGAGAGGCGGCGTCGTGTGCGGAGTTGAAGCGCTCGGTCAACGCCGACATGAGTTTGAGTTGGGGGCTTTCGGGTCGTGTATAATCTTCCTGGCTAGCAAGGAGGTACTCTTCCCACTTTGTCCACGCATATCGTCCCCCGACCGTGACGAGCCCATATGCAGCCTTCTGCCAGGGCTTTGGCGGCGGTCGGTTCGGCGCTGAGCTGCGCGCATCTGTGTATCGCAGGCCCTGTAGATGTGCGCCGTAGCTCGCGTTCTGGTCCCATATTGAGAGTTTGAAGAGTATGCACCGCAGGGCAAGGAGGATCTCCGGACTCCAGTTGTCGGTTATATGGCTGCCGAAATACTTCAAACCCTCGCCGACTTGTCCTTTGAGCAAATCTAGAAGTTCCTCATCAAGCCAACTCGGCGTCGACCTGCCCGACACGGAAGAACGGAGATGTGCCGCTGCGGCCCTTGATCGCATCCCAGGCGCTGCTCAGGCCGAAGGGGAGGCGGATGGCGCGTGAGTTTGTGCTCGTTTCATGATGGGCGCGTTGCGAGGCGGCACGTTGGGCGCGACGGGCGGCGATGCGTTGTTGCGCTGCGGCGAAGTCGGCGGCGGGCATTTGGGGGCATTGGGAGGGTGCGATGGCGTGGGTGGTGGTGAAGGGAGTTGTGCTGGGGAGACGCGATAGCGTGATGGGATGACATCTGGACTGGCTGGGCCGAGGTACCGATGCACAAGCAGATTAGGCGAGGATGCGGACAACCTGGAGGTGCGCGCATCTTGGCCGGACCATCTCGTTAGTGTACCTAATGAGCAGACGGATAGTGTCTGTGACGCTGTATAGATTCTAGTCAACACGTATAATTGTGCCTGGGAGTGTAGGCTAACGCGACCACAACGTTATGGCGGCAGCAGCGATCGCCAGGGTCCGCGGTGTGACGCACGTGGGAACTTTTTGTAACGCGCTTCAGACTGGCCCTTTCCCCAACATAGACGCGGCCTGGGTGAGCAGGGCGACTCGCCGCTATCCAACTTCTACAGGACATCACTGCGACTCTGTACAAGTCCCCGCCTAGGCTTGCTTTGTAGTAGAAGACTTTCCAAACTCAAGTACCCCACCACTTGCGGGACCATCAACACCGCGCCAAACATGAACGCCGAGTTCAGCGCCATAGAGGTGCCCGGCGAGGCCAATCCCTTGACCGAGGGCATCCTCTACCATGTCCTGCGCTCAGCATCTTCGACGGACCCAAACCAGATCCAGACTGGCACGAAAGCAATTGCAAGCATGGGAGAAGTCGAGTGGCTTCTACCCACTGCTGCAGGTATGTTACGACTTCCTGGGGCTACCTTTTCCTCAACTAACTGGCTCCCAGTCTGTCTTCCTCGACAAAGTCTCTCCCAATCGAAGTCCGCTTACCTTCGCCATCATTCAACTCAAGAACGGCATCGACAAATACTGGCGGAAGACTGCGGTCAAGTAGGTCCCCCAGTCCGTCGGAGGCGCATGGCTGACCCCATAGCAGTGCCGTGAGCAAAGAAGACAAAGCTGCCATCCGATCGCGGCTACTCGAGAGTGCAGTCAACGAAGCCGACCAGCGCCTGGCCCTGCAGAACGCTCTCGTCGTTGCCAAGATTGTGCGCTTTGAGTTCCCCAATGACTGGTCAGTCTAGACCTGCACCACCACTCCCACTTCCTGACATGTACCAGGCCAGATCTCTTCGAGCAGCTACTCCAAATCCTCCGCGCTTCGACCGACCCTAATGCCTACCGCCTCCAACTTCCTCGCGCCCTACTCATCGTGCTGTATATTGTCAAGGAATTATCTACAGGCCGTTTAATGCGAACACGCCAGAACCTACAAGCCGTTGCGCCAGAGATCCTCAATGTCCTGGGCACTATATACGTGAGCAAGGTACAAAGCTGGCAGTCCTTCTTCCGCGATGGCGGAGACGACGAAGGAGATGCTATTCAGAGCATCGAGACTAGTCTCCTCGCTATCAAGGTCATCCGACGACTACTCATTGCAGGATACGACTTTCCGGGTCGCGAGAAAGATGTCCAAGAATTCTGGACAATGAGCCGGACGCACTTCGGGGATTTCTTCCAATACGTCGCGTCAGACGAGTCGCCTCTTGCTCCCAGTGTTCAGAAGCTAGTCGAAAAGCATCTGCTGCAGTTGTCAAAGCTACATATGAATATGGCTGTAACTCATCCTGCAGCGTTCGCTCTTCTACCAAATTCGCTAGATCTTGTACGCGACTACTGGAGTCTTGTCTCCAAACTAGGCGAGACTTGGGGCTCCAAGTCATTAGACGGTGCGAAAATTGGCACTGATGGAGATGCCGACGACGAGACGCCCATTCTCGAGCGTTTAGGCTTAAAAGGGCTCCTCATCATCCGTGCATGTGTGAAGATGGTCTTCTACCCTGCTCAGAGCTTTCGATACAAGCAGCAACAGGAAAAGGACGAGAGAGCGCAAGCAACTAGTGAGATCAAGTCACAGCTCCTAACTGACGACCTGGTACGAGAAATGATTTCCGCAATCGTCACCCGCTTCTTTGTCTTCCGACCCAGCGATCTCCGCATGTGGGAGGAAGACCCCGATGAATGGGAGAAGATGGAAGAAGGCGGCGAAGATTGGGAGTTCGCCATCCGTCCATGCGCCGAGAAGCTATTCTTAGACCTCGCGAAGAATTTCAAAGAATTGATCATTCAGCCTCTGCTCCAAGTCTTTTACACTGTTGCAAGTGAGTACTTACTCCCGACGAGGCATAGTTTCCGCTAATTTCGAGCAGCGCCGGACAATGAGGACGTGCTCTTTAAAGATTCAGTATACACAGCTATTGGCCTTGCCGCCGATGTCCTTCACGATCAGCTCGACTTCGACTCCTTTATTGAGAACACGCTTGTCCCCGCAAGCAGGCAAACAGAAACAGGGCTACAACATCATTCGACGCAGGATTGCCATTATCATCTCGCAATGGATATCTATCAAAATTGCAAAGGAGAAGAAGCCGATCGTTTACCAAATCTTCCAGCATCTGATGGACAAAAATGATCCATTGAATGATCAGGTAGTTCGAGTCACGGCTGGCCGCAAGTTTATGGAAATAGCAAATGAGTGGGAGTTTAGTGCAGAAAACTTCCTACCGTACGCGCCAGTCACGTTAGATCGGCTCATGGCCCTAGTACAAGAAGTCGAGTTGGCCGAAACGAAGATGGCGTTGCTGAATACGATCAGCATTGTCGTGGAAAGACTGGAGCACAATGTAAGTGCTTGATCCCAGTCGTGCATGACATACTAACACAAGTAGATCACACCATACGCCAACAGCATAGTCTCTCTCCTCCCACCCCTATGGGAACAGTCTGGAGATGAGCATCTAATGAAGCAGGCGATCCTGACTATGCTGTCCCGTCTCACAAACGCAATGAAAGCCGACTCGCGAGTCTTCCACGTCTCCTTCCTACCCATCATCCAATCTGCTATAGAACCCGGTTCGGAGACCCAAGTATACCTGCTCGAAGATGCGCTCGATCTCTGGTCATCGATCATTGCACAGACGCCTTCAGCCCCTGAGCCTACGCCTCCTGAACTCCTTAACCTATTGCAGTATCTACTGCCGTTGTTCACGATGGACAACGATACTCTCCGCAAAGCTATTGAGATTGCAGAAGCATACCTCCTCCTAGCGCCCGCCGCCGTTCTCGCAGACAGCTTCCGTCCTGCGATCCTGCAAGCTCTTGCCGAACTGCAAGGCACCTTGAAACCAGAAGCCAACGGCATCATGACGCACCTGGTACAATGCATTATTCGCGGCGCAGAAGGTGTCGGCGGCGAAAATGCTGTCAAGATTCTCACTCAAGACCTCATCTCTACAGGCTTCCTCGCAAAGGTCCTGGAGGGTCTACATGGCGCATGGCAACACCATCAATCCCACGGCCCGTATCGAGAACTCCCAGCTGGCGCTGTCGACGGTGTTGTTGAGACAGACTATTTCACCGTCTTAGCGCGGGTAGGACTCGCTAGCCCATCTACCTTGCTTTCTGCAGTAAGGTCTGTGGGTGGTGAGGGTGTGTGGGACTGGCTACTTGAAGAATGGTTCAGTCACATCGAGAACATCGGAGACGGCCCAGGAAAGAAATTGATGACGCTCATCCTCACACGACTCTTAGGAGAAGATGCAGGACTCATGTTGCCCAAATTGCAGAGTCTGATGACGGCTTGGACGGACGTCCTGGGCGAGTTGTTGGATGGTATGGATGACAGGAGTGTTGAGTATGTTTTCCATCCCTCCCCACAATTCCACAGTGCAATCGATTAACACATACCTTCTAGCTCTCTTTTTTGGCCGCCAGAACCTTATCATCCAACCGAACCCGAGGCCCCTGAGGATATACGCAAGCGCGAACTCATCTACAGCGATCCCGTGCACCAAATCAACCTCGTTGCTTTCGTGCGTGAGCAATTGCAACAAGCGGTGCAAGCGGCAGGAGGCGAGCAGAGGTTCCAAGAAGATTGGTTGGCAAATGTGGATAAGGATGTTGTCAAGGGCTTTGGTGAGTTGGGCATCATGTAAATAGTGAGGAAACGAGCAAAGCACTGAAAAAGTATGGATTGAATGAATAGTAAAAACCAAATGTTCCAAACTATGATTCTTTCTCACTCAGCTTCAAGAATTCGTACATGGCTCGCACGACGGACAAGCCGCTGCCTTGTGTTTCGACTGTTCGTCCACGGCCGCGAGAACTTGGATCGCCTGACGTTGCTGGCTTTGTGCTGTGCTGAGATACATCTTCTCGCGCCACCTCATCTTTCTTCCAATCCGCGAGCAGGGCCGGGTAGTTTCGATAATCGACCGCACCATCTGGGAGCACTCCACCGCCTTCTTCATCACCACCCGCGAGATTCGACCGTCGTGCCGCGCTCCACCACTCCCCAAACCTTCCCCTGCGATCTCTCGTGCGCAGCGCAGCTTTCGCATTCCACACAACCCACTCCATTAACGCCTTGCACTTCTGCCCATGCACCTCCTCGCTCGCCCCGCCCTGCAAACCAAGCGGCCGACAAAACGCCACCAAATGATGCCAAAACACGCCCTTGAACGTCTGTCCGTCCTGGTTGCACGTCCCACGCGCATCGCAAAAGTCTTCCAGGACGCCGTTGCGCCCGAGACCAGCCCACTTGCCGTCTTTGCGGCCCCAGCCCGTCGCGCGCACGACGTTGGCAATCAGGACGAACGCGTCAGATAAGTACGCGGCGTTGCCCGTGGCTGCGAACAGGTCGCGCAGGCCGGAGAGGATGACGCCTTGGTTGTATGTGTACACCATCTCGTTGCGCTCGTCACACGTCGTCTTGCTGCGATTCGAGCGGTAGCCGCTGATGTGGAATCCGTCCGTGTACAAGCCCTGAGGATTCCGCATGCCCGAGTTGTTCAGCCAAGTATAGCCGTCGATGGCGTTCTTCAGGAATGCTGGGTCGTGGGGGCGGCGACTGCATTCGTTGGAGGCGGAGAGGAAGGGGCTACAGTTGTCGTCGCCGGGGAAGTGAAGGTACATGCTCGCGCTTGCGGCGATGAAGAGCTGGTTTGTGATGGCGTTTTTGTAGGGGAGGAGGCGTGGGTTCCATGTCATGCCGCCGCCGCAAAGGCGCCAGTCCCAGCCGGCTTCGGAGAGTTGGTAGAATATGCGCGCGCGGTGGGAGAATGCTGGGATGAACTGCTGGGCGTGCCATGGCTGGTTCTGGGTAGACGAGTGTTCGTTGATGAATTTGATGCTCTCGAGCCACTCTAAGACGACCCAGAGGATATCATCGTAGGCTTGCATCCTTATGGCAAATGCCTCCTCTCCGTAGTAGAATGCAGTCGTTTGGGCGAAGTACATGTTGATATCGTTGTCCAATTCTTTCCCATCTTGACTGTGCTCAGACGTTACGTCGTGTGAGCGTGTCAATGAAGACAATGTCGCTGAAATGTACGTATTCGTAACAGCCGCTGTCCAATCTATCGCCGATGTCCACTTTCCAAGCCATAGGGAGAAGTATTGATCCTGCATGTTCGATAGAGCGTCTCGAAGCTCAGTGAGGGCACCACGTGTGTTGTCGGACCTATGGTCGGGCAGATTCGTAGCTTCATGATTTGCCAGTGGTGGAAAGACTTCGAGCGGTTGGAGTCTGTGGAGGATTTTCTGATGTTCGGCCTCATAGGCAGACGTGTCGTCTAGTAAGTTAGACCACGGTCTTTCGAGGAGAGGATTGAGTTACCTTTTACCCTATGCTCTTCAATGCTTACCAGAGATGGAGACGCATCAATACCAGTAACATATAGTAGCAATGTGAAAGTAATGCAAAATCGCACCAGCGACACTGTGCTGCTGATCGACATCCTTGCAGAGCATTCGTCAAAGTCCAATGCTCAGGACTATTGGAACTGGTTCATACCCGGTAACGAGCAATAATATAGAGTCGTACAACATTACAAAACGTAACTTCTTCCGTTCATATGGGCGGGAAGGAGGGGATCAGCCGCGAAGCATCATTGAGGCGTCCAAGGGCTGGGCGTGCTTATCAGTGCATGTTGAAACAAATCCACCACAAGAACTCATAACTATCATCGTTCATAGTATCTAAATAGAGGGAATCTCCGTGGCGTACCTTCGAAAAGCGTGTGAGAGATTGTTCATCACAACGTTCAACGCGACGCGCTTTCGATGAGCTGAAGCACAGACCCGGTCTCAGCATCATGGCCCCCCGCTCTCGCGTGGCAGAACCCCCGCCTCACACAGCTTCGGATGAAGCAGGGTACATACGAACACTAAAATTTGGCGGCCAGCAAATGTATCCTCGAGCGATGGAACCTGCCGGTGGACCAAAAAATATTCTAAAAATCCATTTCATGGGCAAAAAGAAGAATGTTGACAAGAGTGGGACTCGACTGTTTTTTTGTTAGAACGATGAGTCGAAGCAAGGAACTTTGGAGAAAACTTACACCCACGCAGATTACTCTACTAGCACCTGAAGCTAGCGCCTTAACCGCTCGGCCATCTTGCCATTTGATTGGAAGCATATTTTTATTTGGACTACTAAATCGTTTATATTCGTAACAATCTTAGAGCAGCAGGTACTGATGACCACCAGAAACGATATTGCGCACGTCGTTCGCGTTGCGAGACGTGTGTGGGACCAACAAGCTCACAGACATGGGCTAGATAGGCTAGACGAAGTGGGGGTGCAGGTAGAATTCTCGTTTGTGCATGACTCCGCTTGGTCTCCTAGTCAGCCTGCTACGCGCAACGCCGCTTTACGAAGGCATCAAGAAGCACTGAATGACATGCTATCAACTATAAACAGGGGTGTACAACAACCTGAAGCTATACACAGGATCGATAGGTACGCTTTAAATGCGAAGGTAAGGCGCTGTATATAGCTTCAGACTATGTAATAAGCTGCTACCTGCTGCACCCGGTCTACTCCACATCGGGTCGACAGTTGCAAAAGAGGTTGTCCTCTAAAGTCCATTGATACCTCTGCAGACTCAGAACTGACCATACATCTCGCTTCTTAGTCTTTACACTTGATCTCCACCATCGGCCCATCCCGCCCAAAACCCAAAGCATCGTACATCTGAAACTCATCTTCCCTCTCCCTCCCTATACCTAGTCCTTCCTTACCACCTCCTCGTCCCGGCTCATCAGGTGCAAGTCTCAGGTCAAACCGCCACAACACATGTGCCAGCGTAAGCTTCAATTGCATATACGCCAGCCTTTTCCCGCTACACCCCCGAGTCCCGATGCTGAACGGATTGAAGGCCTTACGAGCAACCGTAATGGCTTCAGGAGAGGTGGTTGACGACTCGATCCAGCGTGAAGGGTCGAAGGTAAATGGGTCAGGGAAGTAGGCTGGATTGTGGTGGATGGCGTACATGGGAACGCCGACGACAGTGGAAGCTGGAAAATGTTCGTCGTCGATGGTCATGCCGTCGGGCAGAACAACTCGAGGTAAGTGGCTTGGTACCGGCGCAGCGCGGCGTAGAGTCTCTTCAATGCAGGCGTACAAGTAAGCGCAGGAATTGAGTTTGGTACCAGTGACAATTTCAGAGGGCGACGTGAAAGTCGAGCTGATGACGAAAGTTAGTTACCATCCATGTTTGTCTGACAAATTTTGTCGTACCGAACTTCCTCTGTAGCCGTTCTCAGTACTTCAGGGTTGTGCGTGAGGTAGAAGAAAGTTCCGGCAAGCACACTACTTGTCAGGTGACTGATGCCAAGATGGGGCCTGTGCTCGGGTCCCCTATGTAATCCCCTCTGCTGGGCTAGTTAGCAGGCTAGAACTATACAATATATCAAAACCACCTCTATAGTCCTTACAGATAGTAGCTAAGATATACATTATATCTACTTAAACACCTCTGTTAATTCTGTTTCTAGCGCCTTATAACGCGCTGATACTAAGTTACTATTAAGTTCCTAGCCTTATAGTGCTAGACTCCTGCGCAAGTAGCTCTCTATATTACAGACTCTAGCTGCTCTACATTAATAAGGTCCTCTCTAGCTAAACCTAGCTCTGCGCATTATACTTTATTAAACATGCGTTAATATTACTATTTTAGCAGATTGCAGCCTACTCTAAGCTCTCTCTTAAACTAGAATATACGCGCTGCAGATTTATAATATAGCAGAACTACTAGAGTTCTTAGCAACTTATATAATTAAAGAAGAACTACGTTAGACTGCAATTAGAACGCGCCTTATAATTATAAATATAACGCGTAGCTTTATTGCCTACGCGCCTACTACTAACACTTGCATTTTCTGCGCGCAAGCTTAGACTTACTATTATCTCTCTTAGAATATTAGCAATTGCTGCTTGCTGCATACTATAGTAACTATATACCTAGTAGCAATATAGTAGTTGCAACAACGTAACGCTATAAGAATAACTTATACTAAGTTATTAATAGAACTATAACTATAGTGTAGTAACTCCTATACTTTATACTCTTTAATTGCAATTTTAGTATACGTTATATAAGTAATAAACATACCTAAGCAGCTTTGTTCTAAAGTAGCTTAGCTTTAATTATTCTTCTAGTATAACTAATTATATCTCTTTAGAGAACTCTACTATTAAAATAAATACTAAACGTACTTCTCTTTATATACTAAGCCTGCCTTACTAAGCTTATCTCTTTATATACCTTCTGCTCTGCTAGAGCTCTCTAGAGATATCATCGTTTAAGCATACAACATTATTATATTTGCAAACAAGAGTACTTAGCAGAGAGACGCTATATACGAGAACCTTTTTAAGGCAGCATAGGCTATTATTAAGCTATACTATACTCTAACTTCTTTTAAAGGAAAAACGCAAGCTAATATTACTCTCCTAGATAAAGGCTTCCTAGTATAGGCCTCTCTAAGAAGACTATTATTTAAAAATAACGACGCGCTTAGTTACTCTATTGCCTAGTTAGCATACTCTAAAGAGCAGCGCGTAGCTAAGAAGAATACTAAGAAGAAGTTCTCTATCTTTAAATAACTTACCTAAGTCTTTTGCGCTAGTAACACCTTTAACTGCTAGCTTTAGATAAGAGAATAGATATAAGGCATAATAATAATAACCTTAATTATCTCTCTATAAAACTTCTTTAGCAGTTATAGAAAGTAATAGACTTTAGACATAAGTAGTAGTCTGCCTTCTCTATTCTTACTACTTAACTAGAGGCAATTAAATTCTCTGCTATTATCTGCTTTTACTAAGATCTCTCTGCCTTCTTAGCTATCTGCCTAGCTACTCTTCTCTATTTAGGCTCTAGATAAATGCTGCAAGAAGAAAAAGCGCATAAGAAGATTCTATTAAACTATAATAGCAAGCTAACGCTGCAAAGATAAATACTAAGAGAATACCTTTAAGCCTGCACTATTGCAATCTGCAGCGCCTAACTATTAATTATCTTCTCTTAATAGCCTCTTCTTAAGATAAATTCGTGCAAGCAATCTAGCTATTTATTAGAGACTTTCTGCATAATTTGCTAAGGTTAGAGAAGCTAGTGCAGTTAATTAACTGCTGTAACTTCTATTTATACTAGGTAACTCTAACCTTAAACTACTAGAGAAACTTAAAAGCTAGAGAATCTTATAAGATAAATACTAAGATTAGTTAGGCTAAGGCTCTAGAAATAGCTAGGTAAACGACTGCATACGCTTATATAACTTATAGCCTTTAGTAGAAGAATTTATACCTCTAGCAGGTTAGATGCTACTGCTACTATTATCTTTATCTAGGCGCAGCTTATGCTATAGTGCACTCTAAGATGTTTCTCTCTATAGTAAAGTATACTCTGCATCTACACGCTTATAATTAGTTATATAAAGTAAGTTAATAGATATATTCGCCTAATTCTAGCAAGAAATAACTAGCGTAATAAAGAAATACCTTACCTTATTATAACTCTAGTATATTCTACTATCTATGCAGAAGACTGCTAGATGCAATAATAATTTCTATATATCTAGAGAGAATAGTTAAGCCTATAATAATTTTAGTCTACTACTAATAGCGCATAACAGCATAGAGACCTTATACTAGAATTACCTAGCAAGGCAATAAACTTATATTATAAATTCTAGCTATTAGAACCTCTACTAGAATATAGGTTTTTCTAGTAATAGATAACTATACTAGAATCTATACTTAGCGCTTAGTTGCACTTTGCGTGCTCTTACTCTAGCAGAGCAGAAGATAGCTAATAATAATACTAAAGTAAAGGCTATAAGAGGTTTACTAAAGTTTTAACTAGAATAAATTAGTTTCTTTTATCCTAGTCTGCTAACGCATAAGTACTCTAATAATATAGTTAATATAGCTAGTAAAACGCATTACTATAACATCTAAGATTTTCTTAACGCTATAAAGCTATATATCGCTAGCTAAACTATAGCAGAGCATATAGTGCGTAACAGGCTCTATTAATATTTTAAAAGCACTGCTCTTCTATAGTACTAATCTAATCTTAGTCTTAACTAACGCCTTAAAGTGCTAGAAGAAAATAGTCTTAATAACTAGGAAGAGAAGCTTAAATACTTCTGTATATAACTCTCTTAAGCTCTTGCACGCCTCTAGCGCTAGAAATTTAGTTCTAAAGATCTGTTAGAAGAACGCTTACTTATAGAATAGTTTCTCTAAGTAAAGCGTCTCTATTAGAATACTAAGTATAGCTATAATAATAATAACTAATACGTTATATACGCCTAGAATTTGCTTAATTTAAAGATATGCGTGCATCTTTAGAACCTAGAATCTTCTATAATATCTAACGACTTCTTAGGCATAATAGAAGATTAAAAGTATAAACTAAGCAACATCTTTTAATAGAAAGCAATGCTAAGTAAGTTTCTCTATAACTAATCTTATAATAGCTCTAAGCAGTAAGCTAGTGTATACCTATTAGATAGCTATTATAATAATTATAATAGCTATTAAAGCAGAAGCGCACCTTCTTACTCTTAAGGCTATTAGAATAGCAGTAACTATAGAGGAAACTCTAACGCCTAACTATAGTAAGGAAGCAGAGGTTATTAGACTAACTAATATTAGTTAAATAGGTTAGAATTACAAAACTATAAGAATTTAAATAGGAATAATATAACTAGCTATAATAGCAACTATAATAACTACTTAGGCGCATTAGGAAACTAAGCATAAGAAAGCTGCTTACTTAGCAATAGAAATCGACTATATAACAAAGTCTAAGGAGCCTATAGCTAGTTTTATAACTAGGTTCTCTAACTTAGTAACCTTAGCTATAACACTATAGTTATATCCTAATTACTAGATTTTCTTAAATTAGCTTCTAAGCCTACTCTAGAATCTCTATAAGTAGCTGCTAGACATATTTCTAATAAAGACTATAGTTTATAAGGTTTCTAAGACTTTAGTCCTAGTAACTAGGCTTCTTATATATTAGACTAGAACTATCCTAATTTACAAGACTAGTTCTTTAATAATAAAGAGGATAAGAATAATAATATTTACTACTAGTACGTTATATTACTAACGTCGCCTATTAGGCAAAGAAAAGGTATACGCTAAAGTACCTGCACTAAATATAATCTAGTTTTTAAGTCTTTAAATTAGCTATATTTATATATTAGAGAAGCCTACTATAAATAAGCATAAGTGCATTACGTATATATAGTAACTGCTCTTATTATAGAAAATGCTACTTTATAGAATAGAACTTCTGCTACTAATATATAAGAACTACGAAAGATGCGTATTATTAAGTCTATAGCCTCTTCTCTAATTAAAGGTATAATAATAGTGCAAAACTAGTTTAAGTTAAAGATAAATATACGCTTAAAAAGAGACGTATAGGACTTAGTAGTAATCTCTAATACTAAAGTAGCTCTTACTCTAGAACAACGAGACTTTATTAAGAAGCACTTTCTAAATGCTAAATAGAAAACTCTAAAGTTGCCTATATAATATAAGAGAGCAGAACTAAGTTTAAATATAATTATAGAAGTAGCATACCTTATAATTTATATTCTATCTTAAATATATAGAGGCAAATAGGTTTATACTCTATAGCGTCTTAAAGTTAATATTGCGAATATCCTTGCTCCTAATTTGCTTATTAGTATAGATAGCCTCGTCCCGCAGCAAGCAATTATTAACCTATAAAGCTAGGTTTTAAAATAACCTCTTTGCTATAGCGCTTTAGCCTTACTTATTATTACTCTAAAGAATATACTTACTTGCAAAATCTGCAAACTAGTTACTAAAAGAGCAATTAAGATCTTACTGCAAGCTGCTATTAAAGTACTAGCATACTATAAACACTTTCTTTTACTAGCGTATAACTACGCTATAGATCCTTTAGAGAATCTACTCTATGCAGCTAGAGTCTACGCCTTACTTCTTAACGCTAAAACTATAGAAGTAGTTATCTATAATACTACTAGTAATCTAGTCCGCCTACCTATAAAAAGCTCTCTTAGTTACGCAACACTACTTGCAATATACT